TGTGTTCATATATCACTATACTTATTGTCCACGTGACAGATTATTATATTTATAAATAAATAAATAAAAAAAATTTAATTCTAATTAATTTTAGACAAAATATGAGACGTCGAACGAACGCTGTTCCAATCTATTATGCTTTTAAACAGAAAAATAATGGATAAAGGTACGGCATGAAAATGATAATAATTGTATGACAATTTTTTTAAAAAAATTGTAACATTATGTATTGTTTATTGTTAAATTTATTGATTATAATGTTTTATATTACAGAGATGAATATGGTGCAGGACACCGATAGCTTCTCTAGGAATAAAGTAGTTTAAACAAATTATTGAGACTGCCATTGGTAAAAAAATATCCTGATCTACTTGTAACACATAAAACCGTCAAAAATTACGTAATGATAATTAAATACTAAGCAAACCATCGTAAAGTAGAGAAAATGTTGTTGAGAAGTGATTAAATTTACTAAGATCCATGATGAAAGGGACTTTAAATTGACAAAGGTTAATGATAACAGGGACTTTCAAGAGGTCTAATATGGCCATTGTACTGCTGAAGTCAAAGTACCCGTACCCAAGCAGCACATCTTTGTACAGTGGCCGTATAAGACCTCCTAAAAGTTTTATGACTGGCCTTAGTAAATTTAATCAATATTTTATCACGACAAGTTTGTCTAATTTATGATAGTGTACTTATAATTTAATTATCTTGAACAGTTATTGAGCGATTCCTTCTTATTCAATAAAAAACGTGATCACCTTAAGAAAAAAATTGGTCTTACCAACTTTTTTGTTCGAAATCTTGTCTAGAATCACTCCTCCAGAGTTTGACCATTAAGATGTACTCGTATATATATATATATATATATATATATATATATATATATATATATATATATATATATATATATATATATATTGCTTCAATTATTAAATAAATTCACTGGATTTATTATAATTATTATACCGCATAGAATGCATAACTAGTAAGGTACATGGTATATATGAAATTTTTATAAAAGTTCCATTTTAACAGTTTGTGTGAGAATTTTTAGAAAAAAAAAAACCTTTTTAAGAATTTTCCAAAAGGCATATTTTGTAATAAAGTTATAGGTTGATGATGAAAGTTTAACTTTTATTTATTTATGTTGTTTAAAAAAAGATACTTAAAGCGAGAAATAAACAGCAATTGGGCTTAGATTAGAGTTATAATTTATCTTAAATGAATAGCACATGATTCTGTAAAGTGCCGCTTCCTTTGTATAGCTAGGAACAAAAGTAATTTTTTAGGTCAAATATATGGCGAAAAATACAGAACTTTTAAATAAAAGTTGTTTAATGACAAAAATTATCAGAAAACTGAGTTGAAGTATTACCTAAAATAATTAAAATACAAGTTAAAATTTCATTTCAAGCCCTGCTTATACACATTATATTGTAAACATATTTTATAAAACCCGGGTGATATGGTTAAAAAAAAATTTATGATAGTTAATAATTGTACTTTTTGTATGTCAATATGAATTTAATTATTAGTCAAGCGAATTTATTAAATCATGTATTGAGCGGTCTATACACTTAAAAATTGCGACACATCCCAGTTTTACATTGGGTAATCTAATTAATTAATCTATATTGAGCCATAATATACCTTAATTTGATGTCTAGGTTATTTTTATTTAAATAATATATGATAAAAATAATAATAAGAAATATAAAAAGGATGGACGAGGGAAACAGATGTATATATATATATTTGTCAATGGAACCCCGAGACGTTCTGGTGTTTTCCACTATTACGCCGAGTTAGGGTGGCTCTTTCCCTCCTTCAGACAATATTTCCAAGGTACATTCCTTTACCAAATAATCTATAATCATCGTCTGTCCTACGCATTCAATCTCCTTCAATTCAAGTCATCTATCCACTCCCTCTCCAAAAGATCTCGTCCTTCTGACCTTTATACCCCTTTCCACAAATCTGCCTCATTTCAACACTCCTTTATTGTCAGCTCCTCCACCTTTTGGAATTCCATCTCACTTAAAATCTGCCATGCACTATCCATCTTTAAATCCCTCTTATTCCAATTCCTCCTTTGTGTATCATTTGTATATAAATATATATTCTTTTTTGAGTATGGAAAAGATGTCCAGTCATGTTCGCTAAGAATTTTTTTTTGTTCAATTTTTCAATGTATATGATTCTAAGTCTTTGAGCATTATTTAATTGATTACTAATATTGAATGCACTGCTCTATATGTGTATCATCTTTTATTTTCTCCGATCAATCTATAGCTTTGGATATAGATTATATAACACTTTTATAATGTTAACAATACTATTATTGTATTCATTTGAACAATCATCATTGTAAATCATTTGTAGTAAATATTTATCTGCTCTTATATATTTTTTTTTTTCATTAATTCATTGGTATTCATTAATTCAGTATTGTGACCATATTGCTCATATTATTTCTTTAATATATCTGTATAGTTATGTTCATTGTTATCAGATAAAAGAAGAAAGACCTTACAGAGTTGTCCTGAGAGGACTTCACTTCACTACCCCCACATAAACCATCAAGACAGACTTGTGTTCGAAACGACAACAACGCTGAAATATTCAATATAAACCGGCTTGTATATTCTTGCATACGATTCGAAGAGCCAAGACAAAGAGCTCAAATGGTCCAATTCACCAATTGCCAAAATCTTGACCACTCTAAAACCTACTGTCACCATCAAGCCAGGTGTGTCAAATGTGCAGGACCGCACTCCTTCAGCGCTTGTCAGAAGACTCGTGAAACTGCAGCAATATGTGTTCTATTTAGTGATTAGCATCCTGAAAATTATAAAGATTGTATAGTCTATAAAAACATGCAACGTCAAAAAGCTTTAAATGCAGCCTTTAAACTACAAAAAGAGTCAATTTCCGCAGACCAAACTCCGGGTCCTTCAACGAGAAACGATCCGACACCTAGAGAATACAAATAATCAATTTTTGAACTCCAAAAGCAAGACGACCACATATTCATCAGTCGCAGTAAAACAACTACCTCTATATCAGGCGCCTCAAGCCTCCTTAACCCCGGTCCTCCCATCCTCAAACTAAGAACTCTTATCCTCAGGCCCAAATTCCCCATCCTCAGTCTCAGATCTCCCATCTTCATTCTAAAATACCAAAAAATAACACATCCTTCAAAAATGCAATCCTAAGGGTCAAGTTACCTCCACAGGCTTCACCGCAGATCAATTCCAAACACCTTGACTCATCCTTATCTACCTCTCAGATCAATCCTTCATCAGAAATTCCACTAAATATAGAGCATACTCAAAGATCCCAAAAGAGGGTTCTACTCCCACTTAGGCAAGTTCCTGCACCACAAGACACTTTCTATTCCTCTCCCAACCATAACCCAACGGACATAGTTTCCATTCTCACATACTTCCTCCACGACCTTCAAGATACCATCAAATCTCTCATCACACTCCTTACCCGATTCCTTTCAGAAATCACGTTCAATATTCCACGATGAGCAATGAGACCCCAAATATCCTGTGGTGGAATGCAAATGATTTACAGGATCATCGAGACGAACCGTTACCTAGGACTCCTTCTTGAGAAACGCCTTACTTGGTATTCTCATACAAGACTCAAAAGACAAGGAACTGCCCACAGATTCCGACTACTTTAACACTTACTTAACAAACGCTCTAAACTTCCAATATTCTAAAAAAAAACACATTTACACTACCACCATCAGGCCTATTTGGGCTTATGAAATTGAGCTTTGGGGGTCCACAAAAATTTTGAATTCCTTTCGTATACAATCCTTACAATCCAAAATCCTTCGTAAAATCCTAAATGTTCATTATTATGCCACAAATAAAATTGTCCATAAAGTCATCGATATTACTCTTGTTGAATATTTGGCCCGAACTAGATATTCCACTTTTAGTTCCAAACTGTTTGGTCACCAATTCATCCAATAAAATTCCTGACAACACTCCGAGGGGTCTGAAAAGAAGATGGCCAAGGGACCTTCTAAATTAATCTTATCTTAAAATGTTACCAATGGGTAGATTCTTCACAAGTTCTTATTATGTTATATATTCCTGTAGCAGATTTACTTGTTGTATGTATGTATACAGTTGTAAATTCCAATTAATAAAAAAAAATCCCCTTAATTGTGACAGATTGTAATATCTCTCAATAAATATGTTAAAAAAAATCGATAAATAAAAAAAATCTATGAGATTAATTTGTGTAAGAATCGTTCCTCTTTAATTTGTCACTCAAAATACATACAAAATAAAATACGGTAATAAAAAATTATGATATAAGCTCGTAAAACTTGATCGAAACATCATTTGTTTAATTTTTTTTTATATTTTGAATTCTAAGCCCTTTGCCTATCTTAACATATAAAAATGCCAACTATTCCTGACATGTTAAGTATACAATAAATCCGGTAATGCCATCCAAAAGAAAGAATATTGTTCCCAAACAACGTTTCCGTTGAATTTGATATGTTATGGTATTACTTAGCTTCTAATAACATTAATTTTGGTTAATAAAATTATTCTCGTTTTTTAAACAATTATTATAAAAAAACTGTAAAAATTGGTTTCGAAATTAGATTGCCAAATTTTGGTCGTTTTAGGAATTTAAAAACTCATAATATCTTTTAGACGGAAAAAAATATGGAAAATTAAAGTATGTATGAGATGGCTTTTAAATTAAATAATTATATGTTAGTTTTGGAATTTAGATTAACAGGGTTAATTCTTTTCACAATTGGGGTAACATTTTTGGTATCTTACCTCGAGCAAACGATTTAGCACTACGGCAATGCGAACTCGAGTCCAGCGCCAGGATTTTAAAATGATTTAATTAGATGATATAATTTGAATTTAAAATAAGGGGCTCTTGTGCCATGTGATCTATTGGAACAATGGGAGTAGTTACAACAATTTCCGGTCGGTTATAATTGAATAATAATAAATTATTCTAAAGGTTTGATATATAAGCTATGCTCATTAGATTTAGTCCTTAGTCGCCTATCCTCGCGGTTTATCAGGATAAATCCAGCTAAAATGGTAAGTGTAAGTTATCTTTATAATAGCCAGTCATCACTATACTATAAATAATAAGTGTCAGAGATAATGTATTTTTTAATATATAGCACAATCAGACATAAAGAACTTATGTTGAAATAAATCAATTAATATAAAAAAATGGATATAAATTATGAGACCATTTTTTTGATAATGCAATAATATGTTTAAATAGCATCATCGATTTAAATTAAAAAAAAAAATTTAGACAGTTTGATTACTAGATCAATCTATCATTGATATATATATATATATCATTGAATTGTCAACTACTTTAGAAAGATATTCTTTAGAAAATAATATACAATCACTCATTAAATTTCTAGTTTATTTGAGCAAGTTCTTCAACAGACGACATTAGCTATATCAATAAAACTATAATTTGATACTATAGTTTTCGTAAAGTTCCAAGTGATTATGAATACTTAAGATAGATGTGCTATTTTTAAGATAATCGGTAATACTCATAAAACCAGGATGACTGTAATTATATCATAATAATATTTATCAATAATTAAAATGTGTGGTGATTAAGAAAAGCTATAATGGAAATTAAACCGAAACTTCAGTTGCAAATGTCGTAATTTCTACGAGTATGTTGGTAATTTACAGAATTACTACTTTTTAAACACTTTATACTTACACATTAATAATGCACATGTTTATCACAGTTAATTCAATTAACAACAGTTCTCTGAAAGGTTAGAAGCACTCAGTGTTGGTAGCCTTTTAGGTTATACTGCGCTCAGTGTTGCCAGCTTCCTACGTTATACATCACTCAGTGTTGCCAGATTCCTACGTTATACAGCACTCACTGTTGCTTGCTTCCTACAAGTCCATATGTAATCCAGTTCAACATCCGGATTTTTCCATTCCATGATTTAAAAAGATGAATTAAAACATAAGTGGAATTATTTTTACTAGCCAACTTTTATCCAAAACTATGGATCACTTTAACATTTGATTAGGTATTTACTGGTGGGGGCGAGTAAGGTTTTTTTCGACATAGAAAACTAGTTGACAAGTCATGGTGGAAACTGTGGTTACATTAATGCCTAATGTGTTCACTCAACTCAGGCACTTTTTCGCTATTTCCTAATAATAATAATTGATTTTTGGGTCGATATAAAAATATTTTGTTTGAAAATTTTTAATGATATATTATCCGTATATTACACCTTGTCAGATTTTCTACTGGTATTATTTCCAGGTTTTTAAGCTCCCAGTTTTCTAAAAATGGTAGAAATGGTCTCAACACTTTTAATTCTCAGATTCCAATGAAAATACGGCTTCGGTAAGAAACAGCAACACGCTGTTTTAACAGTCAGTAGTTAGGTTTATCAAATTGATCTGCTCGAGTTGTTATTCTATCAAGCTCGCCAAGTCAAATAAATATGGTCATTGTTTTTTTTTATTAAATACATGGAATGGCCGCTTAGAAAAAAAAAGAAAAAAGTTTCATCCTTGGTGTTACATTTATAGAAAACGTGAATACTTCACCCTACTCTACCAGGAAAAATCCGATATCCTCCTCAATTTCAATTTTAAATCAATATTTTACTTATTTTTTAAACCTTAAACTAAATTGATTAATAAATAACTGTTGACATTCAAATAATTTATAATAGACATAAACAAAATCCAAATACATAAAAGAATTCATTTTTTTTAAATTGTCTTATTGCAATTTACTAGGTATTTGAAAACGTTGATGAAATATTAATTAAGTTTTTATGCACCAGTAAAAATTTGAATAAATGAAAAGAAGTTATTGACGGTTTGAATTCGTTTAATCTAAAGCTTACAATTTATTTCAAGCTAATCGAAATTAGCTTGGAATCAGCTGGAAACAATTAAATTTAGAAACCAGTTTTATTCTATTGAAGGTATTCCGATTGTTGTGAAAAGACCGAAGCAATAGAACACGTTTTTTATATCCGGTCTGTATTACCCCACTCCGTTACCCCCTTCCACCATTCTCCTTTCGTTTGTTGCCCCTCTCTATATCATTCTCAGTATGCTAACAACGGTTAAACTGTAAAGAACTTACCCTTGATAAAAACCAAGAATATTTGAATTTTTTGGATTTGAATAGGCTTTGATAATTGATATCAACCTGAATTACTGATTTACTGTTTCTATTTATTGAAACCGTATTTGGTTGAGTGATTATCACAAACTTGGAATTCGATCCGGCTTCGTATATTGAATGATTTGGATAGCGATTTGGTACCAACATGCTTGGGTTTTGTTTTTATTCTTTCTCTACTGTTTAGTTGGAATTTGACTTCATATTTTGATAATAAATTATTGGAATAACATTATTTGATAAGAATTTTTTTGGGTTTTGGAATTTTTTCTACAGTTACTTGCTGCTTGACCCGGCACTGTCTTTTGATGTTGAACTATTACAATAAAAGAATAGGTACCAGCCGCTTTTTATTAAACCGTATTTTGTGGGTTTTAAAACATTTTCTGCACACCAAATTATTATTTTTTTTTTTTATTAAGACAAGTTGTGTTTGATTTTTTTAATTTGGTCTTAAAATATTTTCTACGGATTGATAAAAATTCCTTTAAAAAGTCTAATTTAATGTAAATAATAAAAGATTTTCCTTTTTAAACCAATAAATAAATGAAAATATCGGCTATTTTCAAAAAATCTTGCTATCACATTAGTCAAGTATTAACTTCTCTCAGTTTACTATTCCAAGCAAGACAAAGATTAATGCCAGTGTATTATCAGTTTTAATAATTTGAAATTACAAGCTGGATTGGGCTGAGAAACGCATCTCTACTAAAACATCTCTCACTCTCTCTCTCTCTCTCTTTATTTAAATATGGGGAAATAGTTTACTGGCCGATTTTAGAAATGGTAGGAGGGGGCGCCATTTGAAACATTGCCTCGGGCGCCTACAAACCACGTGTTGGCCCTGATTCCTAGCAGTTCATGTGAACAAATTATTATTCTAGTTGTTCATAATTTCCTCATTTTTGTTTTTCACATATTCAGTACAAGTATTCTATGATGGTAATTTAATATTTCTAAAATTTAAAAAAAATATTTTTTATTCTCTTCGAAGGGCCAGGCGTTAAGTAACTTAAATTGCTTTATGATATCCTCTTTGTAATTTTTATCGCTTTTCGAAACAACTTATCCTAATTTCTGCTAATAAACGGAATATAGAATGAAATAAATCGTTTTTCAAGTTATGTGTCATATTAACTGCTGGAAAATAATTAAACTTCAGTTATTATTCTCTAGCCTTAAATTTTAATTAAATATTTATAATTGTTCCTAGTGAAATTGAGTTGCTTTTGCCCTTTCTGCAAGCTTTTTTCTTTCGTCCTCAATTTTTTTTTGTTGGTAATATTGCTTATTTATAATTGTTTGCATTAATGACGACATTAGTAAATCGTCGACTGCATTCATAAACATGATACTTCTATTTCTATAAATGTTAGTTCCATAACCCCCAGGGCAATCCTAGAGGTGAGGAGAAAAAGGGGACAGTTGAGCCGGAAGGAAAAATTTAGAGGGTGACAAATTTCGATAGAAAAAATACTTTAAAAGTTAGGTAATTAAAAAAAATGTTTCTGACATTTTTATAGTTTTGATCTATTAGTTCGATGATAAAAAAAGTTGAATTTTATTGAGGGGAGAGGGTAAAAGAAAGGAGGCAATATTAGGCTTGTCTCGCTACGTAAAAATCCTGGCTTCGGCCCTGATTGGTCCAGTTTGCGAATACTAAAATAGATCGTTAACATATCGGAAGAAGAGAAGTATACTTAACAATCTCGCCATAGCACAAAATGAGCCCTTTTCAAAAACCTTATCCTTTAGTCTTTTTTTTACACCTAGCCCTTTATTGGGTTGGGATAGTACCTAGCAATTGAGCATGGGTGCTGGCCATAACACCTCCTTGTAAGACCATTGGTTAAGAAACAGTACTGCCTGAACCCAAGACTCTTAGCGAGTTATAATGGTACATTTTTGTTTATTATCTATTTATATCTGCTCTATTATTGATTTTTAACTTAAATTGTTTATTACAGGTGGCTAAAAGGAACGAGGAAATAAACCGGATGATCGAGGCGGGAAAAAAGCTAATCAAGAACTCAGACGATGACATCGTTATATCCGGCATTGCGGGTAACTTTCCTGATGCCGACGGTATGGAAGAATTGGCTTATTCGTTATACAACAAAGTCGAGATGATATCGGACGACGATAGGCGATGGAAATTAGGTTAGTTTTGAAAGATTTTCCACTATGAATGTAAAGTTTTTTTACCAATCAAGTTCTGGGCGAAATAGAGACAAGCTTAAATCTTCTCATAATTTAACGGTACTTGTGAGCGACGCTGGCTCTATGGACTGCTATCTTCCGTTATCTCGTTATTTAAAATGTTTTTGTTGTTATTTATATGTCTTATTATTAAATTACTATATTGTTATTATATTTATATTTCTTATTAATATATATATATATATATATATATATATATATATATATATATATATATATATATATTAATAAGAAACAGGCAAAAAGAGGCAATACCAAATATATTTATATTTCTTATTATACGATTTTATTTCATATTATACGAGAGTCTAATTTCATATGAAGTAAGGGATTATCAGTGCCTTATAACAATTATCAGTGTTCAGGTTATAAACATTGCCAGAAAGGGATTATCAGTGCTTTATCACAATTATCAGTGTTCAGGTTATAAACATTGGCAGATAGCAGTCCATAGAGCCCGCGTAGCTCACAAGTACCCTTGTGGTCAAAGCTACTTACATAAATGCTAGTGTTACATGGGATACATCAAAGCATGTATGCGTTTCTGCACTGCTGTTTATTGTATAACTATTTAAATTTGATTGTTTCTTTAAAACAAAAAATAATTAGCATCAAACGAAGAAGCATATACAAATTCGGCATGTCTTTTTTTTCTGAAACCCAAGCGTAATATGTAATATCAAAAATATAGTGTTTGAAGGTCTGTTTGTTTACCAAACATTTCTTGGTATTTGCGACTTTCGGTGAGCGTTTGACTCCACCATTATAATCTTAAATTTTACTACACTTCATAATGTAACTGTAACTTCGTGTAAATTTCCGATCAGATTTCACATTTAGGTGATATTACTGAGTACAAATATACATCATTAAACTTTGATAATCTTTGTTCATTACATTTTTGCAATAATATAATGTTTAAATATTTACTAATTAAATTCTAAATTTATTTATTACATCATCAATTAATTATCTTTACAGGTGGGTCAGAACAATCACCAAGAACGTATCTTCAAAATATTAAAGAATTAAAAAGCACCTGAATTATAATTTTTTTAAATTTATAAATATTTATTTTTTTTCATGTGCGTTTCAGATCATCCTGAAATTCCGCAAAGAACTGGAAAACTGAAAGAAGTAAAGAAATTCGATGCTTCGGCTTTCGGCGTTCATTTCAATCAAGCCGAAAGTATGGATCCTATGAACAGGATCTTATTAGAAAAGAGCTACGAAGCCATCATTGATTCAGGTAAGTTAATCAGACCATCAAATTTTGGAATTCTCATTCATATATAATGTATAGATGGAATTACTATTATACTGTAATTCCACTATAATACTGAAGGTTTAAACCAACTTGTTTCTATAGTGGATTTGTTTTTTTTCCCCGTAATAATTAATATTTATAATAATAGATGAGAAAATGGTAAGGGTGGGAGGTAGGAATAAATTAATCATTCAGGAGTAGAAAGAGCAAGATTATGCCAATAATAAAGCCGAAAATTGTAAAAGTATACAAGCTATAATTTGTATGTCATAATTCGGGCATTGGTCCATTGATAGACCGAGGGTTTCATACAACATAGAATCGATTGTATCTTCTAAGCTTGGATACTCTTACTTTGTTCAAATGATTTACATTTGGTGATTTGTAGATTTAAATGCTGACACTGAATCCTGCACCAAGGGCATTGTTTTTTTCATGATAGCTGTAAAACTTATTACATGATTCTTCCTTTCTCCTGTGATTTTTCCTTACATGGGCGCTATTTCTACAGAGCATTTTTATAATTGCGCTGGGACCACATTGAAGTTCTGGCATCTATATCGATATAAGATCTATATAGCCTTAAAACATTCCAAAGACCTTTTTTTAATCTATTGTATGGCTTCTATTGATTGTTGAGTTGGGTTTATTGGTACTTTTAACCCCTGAAGAACCTGTCTTTGATCATCACCTCTTTAGATTTTAACTCAAGAAAACTAAAAAAGCTGATTAGGCTAAAGCTGATTAAAACACTATACATTTATCAAAATAGAGGCTTGTAACATCTCTCCTTGTACAAGTTGCCTTCATTGTGGCTGAGAACCTTGTCTGACCCTCTCAATGAGTTACGTGAAGTCAGGATGAAAAGGGTTTTCTGAAGGTAGTTTCTGCGATAAGCCTGTCCAGGGGTGTAAATAGGAGATGGCAAGGTGGAAAATGCTACTGACCTTAAATTAGAAACTAGGGTTTTTTTTTTTTTAATTTGTTCCCCTATACGAACCAGGATGTCGTGTAAGATGACTGAATTATCAGGAATACTCTCAAACGCCTCGAATTCTCGAAATATTGTAGTAGCTTTTTCTGCCCAAACCATAACCACCGACAACATGTGTAACCTACGGGTATGAGAATAGTCACATAATTCTTATCCTGTTCCTCAAACTCCATCTGAAGTTAAACATGACTATGTCTCAATCACTATGCATTCAATTAACACTGCATGTTTTGAAACAAAATTGTCAAGAATTGATAAGAGGTATAGCTCATCCAAAACGACAGGATTCAAGCTAACTGATACTTTCGCAGATGCTGATATCCCAATTGCCTTTATCAATATTTACCTTCGGCATGGGTCAACCCGCACTATTTCCTTGCCTTATAATGTATATAAATTATTGCCTTATATATACGTCTTAAGTCAAGCTCAACTAGTTGACTTAACAGAAATGGGGCTATACGAGTTCACCCTTCTTTCAGTAACTTTTCCTACTCAACCCCTTATAATAGCTCAACACCATATTAGTGTAACTCGTTATTAAGTATTGAAGAATATTCACTGATTCTGAATAAACTGCATAATGCAGCTTCAGCTCTCATTTATAGAGATTCCGCACAAAGTTTAGTAGTCGGGCTTTTTGTTACGCATTATGACTTCTATCAAATATATACAGAAATTTATATAAATTTGTTCTTAGAAGAGTCTTGAGTTTCATTTGTGTGTAAAATAAGCCCTTTCCCGCACTACTATTTCTAGTTGAAATATTCAAAGACGTGAAGTTCAATATCACAATAAGTTTTATTAGATATGAAAGCACACTCAGTTCTTAAATTTTTTAAAAAGAAAAATAAAAGATCTCTGATTGTATTTATTACAGCAAAATGAAAAAAATCGGTCTATGAAAGAATCCTATAATTAATTAAAGGAGAAAATGGGAGAATGTTTTCGCTGAAAACAGGCTGAAATGTTTTTTAAAAATATTAGTAGTAATAATATATGTATACTTACACGTAGAGAAAGTTAAGATTTAAGGTAACGGGAATTGACGAAAAACTAATGAATTTTAATTATTGTGGTTCAATATGACTTTCTACTTTTATAATTATTGTTTATTATGGAATGGGAAATAAATTTTTTAATGCAAAATAGGTGTAAGACTTTAAAGTTTATTCTCAGTTTGATAAACCAAAAAGTTTGAGTATATCGTACACAAAATTGTCAGGTCAAACATCACTTACAAAAGCTTCCTCTCCGTAAATCTGACGTAAATACGACCTCCTTACCTCTCAAATCGTCCGACAACTTCCTCCTAAAGCTATTATATTTCTTACTTACTTATACAATACCATCCTAACACACCCACTTTCCTCTTTTGTAGACATTCCACTATTATCATATTTCCAAAACCAGGCAAACAGCCCAACACCTCGACGTCCTACAGACCAATTAGCCTACTTCCAATTCTTTAAAAAATTTTCCTTCCCATCAGTTCGTATTTCATTCACAACATCCTACAACCCAAGGGCTCCGGAGTGGTCGATCATATTTCCGCAACGCTGGAAAGAAAGCAATATTGCTCGGGTGCATTTCAGGACATAAGCTTTTGACCGGGTATGGCACGCCGGGCTTCTTTCCAAGCTGAAAACCCATCTACCCCAGTCCTTGTACTTAATCCTTCGCTCCTATCTCTCTGATCGCATCTTTCGAGTTCGCTGTGTTACAAAATGTTCCAATTCCTACCCAGTTGAAGCCGGTGTTCCTCAAAGTAGCGTCTTGGTCCCCGTCCTTAATATCCTTTTTACCGCTGATATCCCTGTCCATATCGTTACCTTTCTGGCAACATTTGCCGATGACACCACCATCCTATCATCCAACTCAGATCCGAAACAGCATATTTAAATCTGCAAAGACTTTTCTCCCCGATTGAGCACTGTTGTAATTAATGGCGCATCAAAGTAAACGAATCCAAATGCAAACACATTACCTTCACGCTCCGGCGCAAATCCTGTTCACCAGTCCAGTTTAATTCCATCCAGCTTCCTTTATCAGGCACAGTCCACTATCTTGGCTTTCTCTTAGACCAGAGACTAACGTGAAACCCACATATTAGACTTAAAAGACAAGAATTTAACAGTCGATACGCCCAATTATACATACTACTGAATAGAAAAACTCAACTTTCAATTGACAACAAATTACTGATATACAAGACAATCCTGAAACCTATTTGGATCTACGGACTTGAACTTTGGGTGACAGCTAAATTTTCTAACATCAAACGCATCCAATCCTTTCAGGACAAAGTCCTCCGAACAATAGTTGATGCTCCGTTCTATGTAACCAACAACCCCCTACATCATGACCATAATATTCCATTTGCCCTAGACCTTAACCCTGAAAACTTTTCCAAATGCCTTCAGAACCTTACAACTCATCCAAATCCGCTTGCAAAATCTCTATCTAGTTCCAATCATCTCTACAATCCTCTTCGGAGGTTGCAGCGGCAGTGGCCGAGTGATCTTTTGTAGTATATATCTTGGAGTTCTGACAATGGCCAGATTCTCCTGACTGGGTTTAGCACCGGTGATGCGGTTGAGAGAGTAGCGTAGGGATCTCTAGGAGCCCTGCTTTTCCTTCTATAGTTGGAGAGACAAGCCTGGCTTGGGATTCCCAGCCTGATTGTATATAGTTATGACTGTGTTTTTATGTTTTTAATTTACTTATCTTTCGGTTATTTTATTTGATATTGTAAATAGTCTTTGATTTCTATTTAGTTATTATTTTACTTTTGTTAGTTTTATGTATATATAGTGTGAATGTGATCATATCTCATTTATAATTATGACAATATAATTATTGTGCACATGACAAATTATTATATTTCTAAATAAAAAAACAAAAACAAAATCCTGTACCACTACAACCCATGAAGTTTCTTGGGTGCAGCACTATGTGAGGAAGTACTGTTACAAGGCCAACTGTTGTGCAGGAAGGTGATGAGGCCGATATCACGCTCAACCGCCAGGTTTTCCCCCGTAATTTTTTTTTAAATTAATGCTACCCACTTTATAGAGCCTAGGTGTGCCCCAGGAGGGTCTCCTAATCCCAGTGTGGATCCACGGATGAAATAATGAAAAATGATTAGTCATTAGCCGGATTCGAACCTAGGATCTTGAGCTCTGGAAGTCAGTGCTCACAGTTACCCCGCTCGCTATTTCTAAATAAATAAAAAAAATAAAATAAAAATATGGCTAATTGCCTGTTTGATACTTTGGACTTGTTTCTGAAAAAAGAAAAAAAAAATCGTTTGAAACTGCTGATATATAATGCCTTCCAGATATTTATTTCCTCTCAGATATATAAAATGAGCAATTTATAAAAACTTGTTAGTTAAAAGAATTTTGCGGAAGCCGTGGTTTGATTTAATTATAAAATTAATTATATTATATTGATTCATGATTTATCGCTAATTTTCTTTTAATTCAAAGAATGTTTTTGTCAATATCTCACAAATATATTCAGGTTTAGAGGCATGTTGTAAAACTTATGTTATTCATAAGTAAAACTACACACTTTAAGTAAAATTAAATAAAAAAAAAATGTTTCAGGAAACAACCCATTCACTCTCAAGGGATCGAAAACTGGTGTATTTATTGGAGCTTGTTTTAGCGAGTCTGAAAAGACATGGTTCTACGAAAAGCTTCAGGTCGACGGATTTGGTGTAACTGGTTGCGTACGATCTATGTTGGCCAACAGGGTATCCTACGCTTATGGATTTGACGGTAAAATTGTTTATTTCATTAGTTTTTTTTATAGATTTCAGTAATTTTTCCGATAAAGGAAAAATCAAAACTATTACCTTTTATATGATATTCTTAACGTTGTATGAGATTATCATACTAATACAAAGGGCCATAGGGTGCGATTCTATATGTTAAATTAAACTAGTATCATGTCTATTGTCTACTGATTTTATAAGTCATTCACATAAATTATTTTGTATGTAAATTCTTTATTTGAATATTAGACAATGTTCGCTTGATAATATGAATAACCATCAATGAATTAATTTAAGAAGTGTGTAATATATATATATATATATATATATATATATATATATATATATATATATATATATATATATTTAATAATCACAAGAATATTGCTCAAAACACATTTAAGATCGACGATGTTATTAATTACCTTCTACCATTACAAACTTAAGAGCTAACAATTCTTCCTTTACTTATGATATAGCATGATTGGTACACACAAAAATTAATTGACATCATTGTAAGTACAATTATGTAAAAAAAACAATAAAAAAACGGGTGTACATTTTTAATAATGATATTTACAATAAATTGAAAAATCAAAAAAGTAACAATGAAACTATGAAACAGCATAGAACATCTACTACAATAAGAAACAATACGTACTGCTATGAGCAATCACCTATATTTAAATATATATATATATATAATTATATTAAAATGTTTATTTTTTCAAAATCTCACCGAATACTGAGACAACCAAAAAAAAGTTATCGTATATTTCGAAAAAAAAAATGTAACAACTCGTAGATTAAATATCATAAAAAAAAATATATATCACACCTTGTTCACTAATAGAAGGGGTGGTTTTGGAAGCAAATATCTCTGCCTTCTATATTATTAAGTTTTGTCTAATTATCTTCACATCCGTATATAAATATTGTAATTGATACCAGAACAATAATAATAATAAGGAGTTTATTTATCATTTTACTGCAGATTGCTTAACATATATTAACAATAGAAAAGATTTTCTGAGTTCTACAATCTTGTGGACACAAGAGTTATTAATATATTTTATTGGGAAGAATCTGTTTATAATATGATATTTTTTATATAGAGAACTTTAATTACATTTTATAAAATTAAAAATTATATTTTTTAAAGGTTGAAATTTATAATTTTTTCTGATTTTAATCAGTAGTGATGTTTGAGATATACTTAATAGTTAGCTACTACTTATCTATTACTATTAATGGTCTCTCTTGAGAAGATGCAGAAATAAAAATTGTAAACAGATTTGCTAGTATTTTCTATTGAGCTTCAGCAGTTCAATCAAAAGAAATTTTTCATCGGTAACGCTATGACTTGGTAGGTCCTAGCTACGTCGTAGACACGGCCTGCTCTTCGAGCATGTACGCCGTGGAACAGGGCTACAACGCTATCAGGGAGGGCTACTGCGACAGTGCCATTGTCGGAGGATGCACTCTCTGCCTCCACCCCTACGTGTCATTGCAGTTCGCCAGGCTTGGGGTCCTGTCATCTGATGGAAAGTGCAAGGTCTTCGACGAACATGGTATTTAAATTCGTAATATCTACATAATATTGTAACGTTTAAAAGATCTTTAATAATTGAGTTCACATTACCATTTTAGCAAATGGTTACTGCAGATCTGAAACTATTGGCTGTATATTTCTACAAAAGAAGAGAAACGCAAGAAGAATTTATGCGACAATGGTCCACGTGAAAACTAACTGTGATGGTTACAAAGAACAAGGAATCACATACCCTTCGGGAGAGACTCAGCAGAAACTTTTACAGGAATTTTATGAAGAGTGTATGATTGATCCATCGAAAATTGCTTGGGTTGAGGCCCATGGTACAGGAACAAAGGTAATCAGTTTTTATTTTTATTCTGTGTGTATCATATGCTGATATTATTACCATCCATGGATCGAGTCCTAGTTCTCATCCTCTAGCTTTTCGTAAAAATAATTGAAGCAATCAGTAGGTTTCTTTTTCTCAAACGTAAATATTAGGATTAGGAACGTTTAATCGGGCACTTAAAAAAAACGGAGATCTATGTTAAATAAACACAACCTTAGATGATAAATGTTCGAAAAACCATAATTGTTAACTTTTTTTTATAAACAAAAAGTGTACTTATGCATACATCCCAGATCTTGGAAAAAAAGAAAAGAAATTAATGCTTTTCAGTAATTTGTTGTAGCCATTTTTGCTGAAAACAGGATTACTTCTAGATGATAAGACATCAAACCACATAATTTGTATACAAAACTAGAGGTGATTCTCAAAATTTTACGTAATAAACACCAAATTAATTAATATGGAACCAAAGCTAGTTAAACGAGGAGGTTTTCGTAAAATTGGGCTATCTGTAGTATAGTTTGAGGGTGATAAAAAAATCGCAAATAATTTTTTATTTTTTTAAACGGAACTACGTTTAGTTCAGCTGCTCCATAGTCTTCTTAGAATAATTCCAACAATGACAAACTCTGCTTTTATTTGAAATAAATTATATGTTGCGATTGTTGATTACTTAAATTAAATATTGGTAGTTATCGCTTTCTAATCAACAAAAAACATAACACATTTAAAAATCATAAATTGTAAATTTTCTACTTTTTCGCAGGGAATGAGACCATTGTTTATATAAACTTTTTTGTAGATCTTTATGGGTACTTGTAAAAATGTTCCTCTACATACGGTACACCTTGTATATTACAGAATAAATACTAATAATATTAAAAAATACAACATTCACCTCACATCGAGTGAACCACTCATCTTACATTTGTGGAATTTTCGATGAATGTTGCTATGAACATTCGCGCAAACGTTTAAGCCATCATGTAGCACCACCTTAAAGTAAAATTGAGCCCTTAAATATTATATTACCTTTCCAGAACCATTATGGGTTATGGTAGAACAGGATTCAGCTGAGTTTTCGAACACTGAACATATTATATTAATGAAATTATGACCCCAAATAATTTAAATAGTATATATTTCACTAATAAGTTTTGAAGTTAAATTTTGTTTTATGAATCTGAATTCTTAATTGAAATCCTCGAGTCAGAATTTAAAAACCGATTCAGATCCTTCTGGACTCTAAAAGTTTATAATTAAAAATATTAATCTGTTTTTTTAACTCTGCGATTATGGATCTTCAACAAAAATAAGTCGACTCAGGTAAAGTTCGTATAATTGTATTACTTGATATTAATGAATCGATTTCATAACTAGCACCATGCTAATTTCTGGAGTTTTCAAATAAAACGTTGCTTAATATTAATGTTGTTTTACTATGACTACTATGACGTCACATTTTTAATTACTATAATTCACATATCAGCTGTATATACACATATCAACTAATTATTACATTAAGTAATTACTAATAAACGAGTACTTGCCCGTTTTTTCCTTTAAGTCTAGTGCTTGTAAGAAAACCTAAAATTTCACATAACCTATTACCAACATTTTAACCAGTTAAACTTATCAAAGGCTCTAATACTCTTAATTAAAATATTTCTGACAGGTCGGAGATCCAGAAGAAGTGACAGCATTATATAACGTGTTTTGCAAAAACAGGAACGCTCCATTAAAAATCGGTTCAGTAAAATCAAACCTGGGGCATACTGAACCTTCATCTGGTATATGCTCTATTGCGAAGGTGATCCTTGCCATGGAAAGATGTTTGATCCCGCCCAACATTCACTTCAATACTCCAAGATCTGATATAGAATACTTTCACACAGGAGAAATTCAGGTATTCCGGATAATGACCAATCCTTTATTCATCAACTCTTCACAAGAATAAAGAAGATTATTATTATATGTGCATTAACTTATCATAGGTCGTGACGGAACCGACGCCATGGGAAGGTGGTATGGTCGGTGTCAATTCCTTCGGTTTCGGAGGTGCCAATTGCCACGTCCTCCTCGAGTGGAATCCCAACGGTAAGAAGAATGGCGGATTGCCAGAAGATGATATTCCCAGGTTGGTTAATATATCCGGTCGTACCGTTGAAGCAGTTGATTATATTTTAAAATATGTAAGTATGCATCTAATAATACGAAATACAGAAAAAAAAAATACAGCCCAATTTATTTATTTCTTTTTTTCATCATAATTTTAGCTGGACGGAAATAATATGGATGTAGAACTAATTAAAATGTTTCACGATATTCATAAAGATGAAATTCCCAGTCACTTGTACAGAGGTTTTATTATACTGACTAAGGATAAGTCATTTTCACAAAAACGTGTTGAGGTAAAAACAATCTTTCTGATTCTCATTCGAAAATACTATCTTCATATTCTCATTCTCATACTATATTATATAACTTATTTTATTTTTATATACGCTTTTCAGTACTGCGGAATGAAGAAAAAAGTATATGCTCAGTTTTCGGCATTTTGTACCAATTGGAAACCATTCGACAAAAGCCTTTTCCAATTTCCAGTTTTCCATCAATCCCTATTGAAGATGAGCCAGGCCGTCTCCATTGACATACCATACCTCATAACTGATTCCAGTAATTCTATGACGAATCCAGTAGATTATTTTGTGGCAGTGGTTGCATCACAGGTATTCGAGTATTATTATGTTGACGAAAGGTGAAACATTCAATAAATTCTATAACTAATGATAACATTCATATTTCAGATTGCTTTGTACGACCTTTTGACTTCCATAAATGTTTCTGTTGATGGGTACTTTGGATTGTCTTTAGGAAACCTGGTGTGCGCATATGTAGATGGCTGTTGTACGGCAGAGGAGGCCATTCAAGCCGCATACCATATTGCTGTTATTGTAGGTTAGTGAAATAGCTTTACTACAACACTTAAATAATAGTCTGTGCTAGTGGTTACAGCTTAACTTACTAGTACGGTGAATTGCTCATATATACATTTCTTAACAATATTACATAATAAAATTTTGTAGCAAAAGTTTTGGTTTGAGGATATCTTAATCACTTTCAATGGAACATCTTTAGATATTGTTGTTCTTCTGAAGAAGTATCTTGGAAGGTGAAGAAAAAATAAATCTGGAATAAAATCAACTTTAAACTAAACAAAAACACTCTCCTTATCTTTTCCAATATTTGAAACAACCATTCTTCAGAGCCGAGTTTTCTATTAAGCATGCTTCAAATGGTAGATTAAAAAAGGTAGATTTCTATAGTTTTGGCATTATTGATTTTAGTTGTGCGATCTTTGAGTTGACAGATCCAACGATGAGTATTTGATGCATCAAAGTAACAAGTCAGAATATCTGAAATTAGGTTCAACCATGATCTTTTGCACACTCATACACGTTGAGTATATTGCCATTTGTAGGTTTTATTTCATAGAACCGAACATTTAATCAAGATTTCTTTAAAATATCGTTTTAGTTTTTTGCTGTCTGTACCAAAATGCGCATATAAATTACATGAAAAGATTTGTGATTTTCAAAGAATTTTAATTAATTGTAAAATACAAATTAAATAATCTTATAATAAAAAAAACACAATTTGATCAGACCACTCCTACTTTATTTTTCCTTGATAAGTTTCAGCCCTGAGACCATTTTCGAGGGGAAGAAACCTTTATCACATAAAACAATCATTATAGCTTAATTATACTTTTCTATTAATTTTATCATTTTATACTTTATAACTAAATACCTATTTAAGAAGATTAAGACACATAGACTGAAATTAATTTAAGATATTTATCGTAACCGATAGCTATTCATACTCATAATACATATTAATAGAAGTAAGAGTGTTTCATTTAAGGAGGACTAATACTAACAAAATTGTTGGCATTCATACAGACAAAAAAAAAAATAAATAAAAAATAAACGATCTGAGAAAATCGAAAATAAGAAAAAAATGGATAAAGTTCATTTCTAGAGATAACTTTTTATTATTACAATGCTAATAAAAAGTTTTAAAATTTAAAACACGCATTACTTTCACTAATTTTTATAAATGATTTGAGTTGAAAAGAATGACAATAAAAATTGAGAAACTTTCAATCCATACTTGTAGTATGGATCAACTACAAGCTCAAACCAAACAATTAAAAAAAAATATTCAAATGATTTGTTTATTGAAATATTGAACGCAATTAGTGGAAAAGGTCTTTTCGGCCAACCTCCATACTTCTCACACACATATATTTAAATAAAAAAAAAAAGCCATAAGGAATAAATAAAAGAGTTTTCTAAGTCAAACATTTTTTAAAAGTTCTGTCCGCTACCATGTTTTCGGGCCTTTTATTACAGTATGAGGCGTTTTGCGCCGCTGAATTCGTAATCAGTAATATCAGAGTACCCAATTACGTTTTGCAGGACAATCAGCTGGAAACGGACATCAAAATGCTATCAAATCAAACCTATCTATGTTGTTCAAGTGCTTAGTCTCATCAAAATCCAAAATCATGGAGGTCCTCAAGAAGGTAAGCTTGATATCAGTTTTTTCCTCAGAATAATATGTTCCAATCTACAAATTAAAACTATTTATAAACTAATATTGTTGACAAAGTGATTGGTTGAAATTTCAGTAAGTAGTAAAGTGATAAAAAATGGGGATTCCATTCCTTTCCATATAAACTGCTTCTAATCCCACCTTTTCAAATGGCATAAAACAAACTCCCTTAATTATTGAAAATCATGTTTTAATCTTATTTCTTTCACAGATTTTTACTTCTGGCAAAGCTAGAAGCCAGAAGTGGCTTAGTTCTTGTGACGAACGTAAGTGTGACGCTGATTTCATGTTCAAAAATTTAATTTCGAATAGTGATATCAATCTTGGAGATGATAGCACATCCCCTGAAGACATCCTCATCCTCAACATGGGACCGAAAGGAATGTATGAAAATCTCGACCATGCTTCCCTTGATATTGTCGATAACAGTGGAATCGACAGTTGCACTTCTCTGTTAGTCACAATTGGAAGGTAAATTTTTTATTCATTCATTAAAAATTGTTATTAGTTGTTGTAATTGAGCCTGTTACTGAACACTACTATTTTAAAATATATTAATTTATTATCGTAGGTTGTTTAATAATGGTTTGGAAGCAGACCTGTCCAAATTATACCCTGAGGTCTCATATCCCGTGTCTCGATCTACGCCAATGATCGCTCCTTTAGTCCGCTGGAACCATGACGACGATTGGTATGTTACCTCCTACCAACTTCAGAAGAAAATCGGATCCGGAGAAAGAACAATCAGCGTTTCCCTTACTGAAGACGAATCAGAGTACATCTCAGGTCACGTCATTGACGGCAGAAATTTATTCCCAGCCACTGGATATTTAGTAAGTATATAATGCGTTATATATGCATGATGTGTAATATAATAATAATTATTATTACATTTTGATTTTGAAATTCATAGACACTTGTGTGGGAAACCATGGGACTCATGAAAGGTGAGCATTACACGGAAGTTCCAGTTGTCTTTGAGAACATTCGGTTTCAGAGAGCTACTAATATGTCAAAAGATGGTAAGATCATGTCAATATTTGTTTGATTCTATTACATTTTACTTTAAAAATAAATATAATCATGAATTTATTTCAGGTAGTGTCGATTTCACCGTGATAATTCAGAGATCCAGCGGCAATTTCGAGATTTGGGAAGGAGGAGCGGCTATAGTATCTGGAAGAGTATATGTCTGTGAAGATATTAACAATTACATGGTTCCTCTGGATGCTCCAATAACAACTGACAAGGAGATGCAATTTTCTACGAAAGACATTTACAAAGAGCTCCGTTTAAGAGGTTATAACTACAACGGTCTGTTCCGATCTATCACCGGATTAAATATAACAGGTGATGAATATATATAATATCCTTTATATATTCAATATAAATAAATTCAATAAAAATAAATAAATTCATTTATTATATTTCGATTCAATGCTCAATCGGGTAAATCCTTCTCAATAATCACATGATCTAATATACTTCTGAATTGCTGTTAACATAGTTCGGAAGCCGTCTCGTCTCACATGTAATTAGCTAGCATTCACTATGAGGTCATGTTCATGCTTCTTACAAACCTTTTACACTGATATATTTATATTATATTCATTATTATGGATTACATGTTCTATTATTATTTCTTGTATTGTAGCCATATATTGGATTATATTTAATATAAAAAAAAAAACGAAAAGACATTTTACCTCTTAGAGTAAATGAAGATGAATAAAATTAGAAGGCCCGTTCCGATCGGATTGCTGCGGGGAACTGTTCCGCTATAGGAACCGTTCCGAACGGAATGACACCGTCTGTCCAAAATAACCGTGGTGTTATTTTTAGCTTATTTTAATATACATTTGATATAATTAAATTGTATTTTTAAGAACTCATAAAATTAGGACATTGAAACGGCTTTTATTCTATTGAAAAAAAAAATTCGAAGAAAAAATTATTGAAAAAACTATGAATTGAAAAATATATGTTTTTTATTATATCTAAATTTTATTGTAATACTCTTATATTTAGCTAAAACTAGCCGCTATGTTCCACTTATCTCCATTATATACTCATTAATTTGATATAATATATTGAGTAACACGATTAGCTTATAACGAAGAACTAGATTATGAATGAGTTGCTAGAATGATAATATAATTCCACTATTATATTAATAAGCAATAACTAGCTGTTTAAAAATATTGAAAAATAAAATTAATTCTTCCAGATAAAATTGCGAAGGTGAGATGGCACAAAAATTGGGTGGCTTTTATGGACAACATGCTTCAAATCCAAATGATGTTTAACGATACACGTGGTCTTTTTGTTCCGACTTCCATTGAACGAGTGGTTTTGGATGGAAAGAAACACGTTCAGTCAACATTCTCTCTTCCAGAAGATGGGGACCAAGGTAAGGATCAAAATCGAAGATTTACAATTTGTTTTGAGAATTAAAAGGAAATTATTTCTTCTACATATGTAAACTACTCATTATCTGCGGCCACCAATCACAATTTTACTATTTCAAGTAAACAAATGACATAAATGCAAGAATAATAATGAAGACAGTCATGTGGCTTCATACGTGTTTGTGCAAAGCTATTGTGCCCGATTATCTCGTCGAGGCGAGTGGTGGGAGAGGATCAGATAAGATCTGAAAAATAAAATTTAATCCGCAACAGCTACCGGTACGGTTTGCCCACTGCATCCCAGATCTAGGCAGAGGCAAAAGCTGCATCACAGACTTGTGGACCCTCAGGTAATAAGATGTCTATGCCAGCATAACAGGATAAGTAGATTCATATAACCTACCACTTCATCAAAATACAGTCCACTGCATAGATAAGTCGAATGTGGCTAATAAGTTGAACGTTGCCTATTTAGAAATATACGATTATATAATTTTTTTTGCTATATTAGCGATGTTTTGCCGTACGTAAAGGAGGAAAATTGACTGGTAGGTTATGAGAGTTTTTGTAAAGATCGTCTATTTCCGGGCTGATATACGTATTTCGCCTATTAATTCGTTTTTTTGTTTAAATATTTAATATTTAAATATTATTGCTTTGTTGCATATTTGGGGATGCCTGAGTAATAAAAATTGAACTTTTTTTTTGTAAAAATCGTATATTTCCGGGCTAATATTAGTATTTCGCTTATTGAATTGGTTTTTTTAAATATATCGTATATATAATATATCTAATGGTTTCGTTACGTGTTTGGGGAAGTCGATCTGTTTCCAGATAAATTTCTAGAAATTTTCAGGAAAGAATATGGTGACTTGCTGGAATTAAGTGACTTCGTTAATACTTACGTTAACCCTTAAGTTAATCCTAGCTTGTCTTGCCCTGCTTTGCTAAACTTTGAATTTATTTTGAAGGAACTTGGTTTTGCCTTTAGCAATAAAAATATAATTTTGAATTTTTTTTTAAACAATTTTGAAGATGGCACCAACTTAGAGTTCTGAGGGACTTATGATGTGATAGAAAGGAATGGATGTTTCTTAGAATTCAAACCACTTTCGATATGATTATGGGTCTCCCGGCTAGAAAGGAAATTTTTATGACTAGGGTTTACATGGTAGGGCTAAATTTTTATGGCTAGTTGATCAAGATTTCGGTGCGAAATAAATCGTTAGAGGAGGAACATTGGATAGAAATAAAAGCACCGGAGGAACTTTATTATGAGATAAAAGTTGCGCATGAGAGATTACTTAAGTAAAGATTAAGACACTAGAAATCAGAGAAGAGAAGTACCAAGAAAGACAGAAACTTAGAAAGATAGTATTTTTATATTTTATATGAAAATAAAGTGTTTCTCTCAGAAAAGAGGTTCTTGTTGTGGAGGGATAAATAATGGAGTTGGGCAGAGGAGCAAAGAATGAAGATGGGAGAGAAGATGAGAAAGTTCTGGGAAAGCTAAGACTTGATGCTGGCCTATGTCGTGATAAATAACTGTAACACTAAATTTTGTATTATATACATTCATTAACGCATTAATAATACTAATATATACAGATATTCCAGATATCTGAGCAAGGGAGATGTTTTACTTAATATATATATGTATATATATATATATATATATATATATATATATATATATATATATATATATATATATATATATATATATATATTATATATTATATATTTTATTTTTTATAAAATAGACTCAATTTTATTATTAAAAAATGTGTTTATTTTCTAAGCAAGAATAGATGTTGCCTCCAGAAATATGAACCATGAAAATGAAGGGTTAGGGGTTTCACTTTGATAGTATCATCCCAATCGAGTTATTTCTCTAAAAGTTTTTGAATTTACTAGATAACCTCTGTAAATTTAGGCATTTAATTTATGCCCTGTTGTTCAATTCCCAGATCTCGCTGTCTACTACTTCCAAGATGCAGAATTGATAAAATGCGGTGGAATTGAAATAATGGGTCTGAGGGCTGATGCTATTCCAAGGAGAAAAAATTTAGCTGAAGCTGTCTTGGAAAAATATGAATTCGTTCCTAATGTAACAGACACTGAGGTAACAATACATTCACTTACAATATTATCGCTTACTTATGTTTTGCATTGCCAAAAGAACTTAGCCATACTGGAAAATATCTTTTTTTGTAATAATTTACTAAATGAACGACAATACCAATTCAATAAAACTGTAATACGAAGTCGTTCAGATCATATAATTAAGATTACACCTTAATCTGTCTTTCAGAACTTCAACAGAACCGACAGAAAAGCTTTAACTAAACATAATTTCATATTGGCAATATGAATGCTTTAATTCCGTACCGCTACACCCCATGAAGGGCCTTAGTAAGAGAGTAATGTAATATTAAATGAATATTTAAATACATAAAGTATATATATATATATATATATATATATATATATATATATATATATATATAGGTATATTCTTTTTTTACTTTAACTCACATATATATTTGAAATAAATAGTAAGAGAAAGAGTGTGTGATCGTGAAAAAATTTCTAGTAAAAAAAAGTAGTATGAAACCCACATTACTGATTTCATGTATATAAATACCTGATATGTATAATGTTTTTGCTGAAATCGGCCTAGCTGAAGTACCACTTTTGGATTGCCGAGTTTGCAATTTTCCCGAAAAAAGTTTTAGCAATTTTGCTTAAACAGGTTACATGTAAATTGTCTTTAATATCAGCTAGGATTTATCCTTATTATAGTATATAATAATAGTTTTACAGTTCTTTGATGACGAATCATCAAAATAGCTTTCCGCAAAGTGCCTTTAATTATTATTATGGTGTGAATGTGCTGCCAGAACTCTATCATTAATCTCCTAACTGAGACAGATTGTAGTAATTTTCTCAATAAACAAATTTAAAAAAAAATTATTATTAAAAATAATTAATGCCTTTCATTGTCAATACTGATGAAAAGTAGATAAGTATGAACTACGAAGGAGTTTGTTAATTAACTAAATGAGAAAGAATACTATCGTGTCGTAACAAATTTCCAGAAATAAGAACAGTATTATGAACGTAGAATAACGTTGGAAAGCAAGATATTTTAGAAAAAAATATAATATAAAAAGAAGTAGAAGCTAATGCAAAGTGACAAAAAACTAAAGATTGTGCTAGTTAATAGTTTCGACTTTTATTTTATTTAAGGTGAACTGAATGGACAGACGAACAGAAACCGCTCGTATTAGAGTAAGGTTATTACATTTTCACATCAATTAATTATTTATTTATATTTTTAAGGAATATAATATGGAGCAGACCTTAAGGATATTTATGCAGATTATTTTAGAAAATGAACTTACTATTAATGTGAAGGCTGTTGAAATTTCTAGTAAAAACAACAACGAAATCATAGCTCCGACTGTTGCGGATATACTTTCTGATTTACCCCTGATACAGGTAATTGTCACAGATTTAGACAATTTAATTGTAGAACTTATTATACCTAGTATTTTTTAATATATGTATATATATATATATATATATATATATATATATATATGAGAGATTCGTTTATACATTTTGTTCAGTATTTGGACTCGCATGTGATTTTGTATTGCTATTGTAATTGTCTACAGGCTTAATTTAATTGATTTTTTTTTTAACTAACTCCTTTTTAACAGTATTATTATTATTATATATTTATGTATGTTATGCAACTGTTATAAATTTATAATCTTTTGCATTCGTTTGAATTCTAAATTATCATTTAAAAAATGGATACAATCTTACTTTAACACAATTTATTGTTAATCCGAAATTATTACAATAATAATTCCAAAAATATTTATTTGGTATTTTGTTGCCTCTACCCTGTAGGGTCATACCAAAAATTCCAAAAATAGTAAAGTTGAATTTCATAAAATTAATGAGTTAAAAAAAATTATGCAGGCCTCCAGGGTATTATAATAGGAAACGGTGGATCATATTTGGTTAAATAAATAATAAACGAGCAATGGTGGACTGACAAAGTTAAACTAAGAAAATCGATATACTTTTCTTTTCTTTAATAATATTTTCAAGTACCAGACCAAAAGTAAAAGTTGCAAAATTGCAAGACCAAGACCTCCAACATTGTTGCAAGGCCAAGACATGACTGGCTCCTTCAAGACTTGTACAAGAACAAGGTACAACTGAGTTAGGTCAAATTAAGGCTATTTTGAGGTATAGTACTGTGCGTTAACAGTTTCACCTTACCTGAAGTCTAAACAGCGTTGTTTTTCTTGTTGAATTGTATGTTTCGGGTATAGCCCTCCAAAAAATAACAAGAATTAAATATTTACCAGGACCGGAGCAAGATAAAAAATACAAAAACAAATAAAAAATGCGTTTTGGTGAATTCAAATTATGGCAAAATAGTTACTAATATTAGATAATTTTATTAACTCATTGTAAAGAATTGGTAGAACCAATACATTTTTGCATTTAATACTAATGCATTTTTGCATAGCCGCTCTAAACTAACCAACTCTTGACACAAGACTCATATATATTACTATATATTTTTTATTAAAGAAATTTACAACTGTATTAAATAATAAATGCAACAAGTAAATATGAACAAGTAACACGACATGTACAACATGAAGAGAAACTACCCATTGGTAGCACTCCAATTATATTTCTATATTAGAAGGTCCCGAGGCCATCTTCTTTTCAGACGGAGTGTTATCAGGAATAGAAGAGGAAGCAAGGTTGGAAACGAGAGGGTTCGGATGGTTCAGAAGTTTATTATGAAAGGATAGGTATCTGGATTGAGCTAAATCGGAAACATATGGTACATAAAGCTCCTTATGGATGATTTTATTTGTGACAAAGTAGGGAGGATTAAGGATTTTACGAAGGATTTTTGATTGTAGGGATTGGATACGACAGGAATTTGATGGTTTAGTAGATCCCCAAAGCTCTCGATCCCGTAAGTCCAAATAGGCCTTAGGCCTTCCTAAATCAAACTTATATTGGGCAGCAAGATGCCGGATGGTCGAATGACCAATGACTATGGCATAGGAAAAAAAAACAAAACATATTTTCCTGACACTTGGAAACTATCAATTATTAAAATGATATATAAACCCAAAAAACCTCCGGAATACCCATCTTCTTACCGTCCTATCTCACTTTTACCCATCATGGGAAAAATCCTGGAAAAACTTATCTTAAAACGCCTGTTTGTCATCCTAGATTCTTATCAAATAATTTCAAACCACCAATTTGGATTCCGCACATCTCATTCCACTATCCAACATTGCCATCGTGTGGTGGACGTAGAGCGCGGATTGTACTGCACAGGAGTCTTTCTCGACGTTGAACAGGCGTTTGATAGGGTCTGGCACGCTGGACTGATGTACAAAATCCGTAAATTCCTGCCACCTACATGCCATCATCCACTCCTACCTTACTGATAGATGCTTTAAAGTAAATCACAAAAACTCTAATTCATCCTTTTTAGCAGTCTGCTGGTGTACCTCAAGGTAGTATCCTTGGTCCTATCGTTTACACAATTTACGCTTTCGGGCAGAAGCCCCCCCAAAATGGTAAAATATAGCCATGTTTTATCGAAAAAAATATTAAAAATGTATCTCATAAAGTATTATTGTTTGTGTAATTACATTTAAAAGGGCCTTAGGAATCACTTAAACACCATTTCATACAGGTAGTTAGTATCTTTCATCTTTTCCAAAGTAATTATCGTTATTTTTATGAAAAAAACCGCTTTCGGGCTGAAACCCCTCCCTCCCCCCAAAACTAAATCGTGGATCCGCTAGTGATCCCTGATAACCCTCCTAGACGTCTGAAAAGAAGATGGCCTCGTGATCTACTTATGTAAATATATTATTAGAGTGCTACCAATGGGTAGTTGGCTCAACAAGCGTTTTAATGTGATTGTATATTACTGTGTGCACATTTAATAGTTGTATTTTTTTTTTTATAATACAGTTGCAAATATCAATGAATAACTACTCTTACGCAAGACAAAGACGAGGTGTGTTGACGCAAGACCAAGACCTTGACTTAATAAGTCTTGCCTTGATCTTGCGTTTGGTCAACATTACTAGGAATTGAAGGCTTTGTATCAGAATTTCCCCAAAACATCAAAATATTTTCAGAGTAGTTGAATTAATTAATAATTATTAAGTTATATATATATTTACTTATTAAAATAAGTAAATTTATTAAATATTATTATAAAAATATAATAATATATTAAAATTATTTAAAATGGCTATTTAAGAAAATTTGCATATTTATCAATGTACAAAAATTCATATTTCAGACTGACATAACAGTACTAGGAAATCCGAATAACTACGAAGAAGCTCCACCTCCTGGAGTTACTATCGAAGACAAGAAACTTACCGGCGACCAGTCGTCATTATTAGTTATGGGAAATAATTTATTTAGCGAATCACAAGAAATCGTAAGTACAGTAAAAAAATAAATAAATCAAGAATTCAGTTCAAGAATGAAAATACAAAAACAAATTATTTTTCAGAGCCTGGACGATATTTTGAACGTTCTCAAACCAGAGGGTTACATCATAACAAGAGAAGACATCAATACAAAGATTGGAAGTGAAAAAGTGGTTGTCCTCTGTTCCCACGTAGTGGGTTCGGAGAGGATGTTATTACTAAAGAAGGTATGGCCAGAAAATTATTCTAATATTACCCTATGTACAAATGGTCGACAACTTATTAACACGTAACATTGCGTGAGTTTTAATCTTCAGTTTTAAATGTTCCAAAGCATCCCCTTCCTTACTCAGCCAGTAGCCTATTTTTTTTTTGTCTGCAAGTTATATATGTCTTATACAATGCAATAATTTTTATTTCCCATTATCCCCGATAAATTTCGAATCTCTATGTCATTTTTCTAATATTAACTAGAAATTAAGTTAGAAATAATAATAACTTCTATGTAAGAACTTGTCGTCTATCAGTATCCTCCTTGATCCCTTCTTTTTTTCTATGAATTTGCAAAAAGGACAGGAAATAACAATAAATTTGTAACGAAAACAGCAGAAAACAAAACAATTAGATTTTAAGACAAATCATACTTGGGATATGTCAGGGAAGTAAAGTAACATTCTGTTGCAGGTTTTTTTTTATAATAATAATAATAATACTTTCTTTATTCTAGGATGTGTCTAAGGAGCCTCAGAAATACATAAACAAAAATACAGAATAATGTAATAGTAATAATAAAAAAAATTATAAGTTAAAATCATAAGTTACTTTCTAAATAAAAGCAACATGAGGTAAAAATATTGAAGAAAGATCTAATAATGTATATACATATTTACAGTAATATCTATTTACATGAGGACTGGATAAAAAATTATTTACTAGGCGAGATTTAAAGATAGGAAGGGAATCTGATTGACGATGAACAATCTATCGAAAGCAGCGGTGGGCCCTTATGTATACTTCAGAAGACAGGGAACGAACAGAGGATTTGAATTGAAGGAGCTCGGAGGTGTATGAAGGGCGGTGGGATTGGATGACTTGAAATAGGAAAGATGCCAGGAAATACTACCGACGGTAGGAAAGATAAAGCCACTTCAATCAACTCTGCATAAAAACGGGAAGCAGAGGCGTCCCTTGGGATCCCGAAGATGAATCGTACAAAGCAATTTATCAAACGGTTTAGTTTATAGTGTGATTCTCTCGTTTTAGGAGTCCACCATAACAGAAATCAGAAATTAAAAAACTAATATTTTTCAACACCCTTAAACAATCTGAATCCTGTCGGGCAGAGCAAAAAGTTATCTGTGAAGCATCGAAACTGATAAGAAAACCAAAGAGCCCAAGCTCGATGAGATAAGATCTTGAACCTTCGTTTACGAACGGGACACAACAGGCTCAAAGAGTACCTATTTATCACAAGTTCAAAATTGGCTCTAGTCCCCTCTGCGAGTGCGGTGAGAGTGTACAGAATGAAGGACATATCCTACAAACGTGCATGGTATACTCCCAGCAAAGGAGGGTGATCTGGCTCTCTCCAACTGAAGTGGAAAGGAAACTATATGGGAGCTTGGAGAACATGATGTAGTCCTGCCGTATTATTTATTTTAGTTCCTGACCTAGTCATATAAGGAAGTATAGATTATTGATTCTTAGTTCGAGTTAGTGGAGTTGAGCGATCGAACCCAAAACACACCCTTGATCTCTTCAGCTTTGTAGTATCGGTGGTAAGTGAGAAATGCAAAAAATATTCTTCTCGGCCCCGGAGACATAGGTGAATCATTCTATATTTCGCTTATTACTTCTTGCTAAGCCCCTAACCAGTGTGAGGTTTAGCAGATGTTAAAATTAATAAATCAGACGGTGAAATGTGGTTAGATATATCCCCTAATGATCTTAAGTAAATAATTTATTGCATTTGTTTATAATGCATTGATGTTTCTGAGCTGTATCTCCATTTTTAAAGCATCCTTATATATTTAAATTGATAAAATAGTATGCCAATCCAATCCATAAAATTATTGTTTAGTCGTATTAAAATAATTAAAACAATATGACACCAATATAAAAGAAAATAATAAATTATTTATGGAAGATATTATTTTCTCAATCTATAAACATAATTTTAGGTTTTATAGAATATTAAGAATGAAGATTACAGTCTACACATTTTTAACAGAAAATTTTCCTAAACATATTTTTAACTTACCTGCTACTGTTTCATCAGGTTTTTAATTTTAACGGTTTAATTTTAGGCGAAGAAAGCCGAAACCGGAACGACAAGTGTATTTACAGTATCTGACGAAGATTACAGTTGGATTGTTCCATCTCAGAACGCACTTAAATCAAAGGATTGTACAAAGGTTATCTTCCTCGGCCCATTTGAGGAACAAAATGGAGTTCTCGGTTTCGTTAACTGCATCAGGAAAGAATCTGAAGGCCAGAAAGCAAAGTAAGCTATGTCAGCCGTACAAATACTTTAGGATTTTTATTTATTCTATTACTATTATAATTTTTTTTTCTAAATACGCTTAGTATCCAGTTAGATTTTGAGTATTGGTGTTATCAAGACTATTTATTACAACTGTAGCTTCTTTATCTTGCCATTCCTTTTGTTGTTATATAACGCTTCTCTTTCTCAATTAATTAGTGCCTCGACTTTTTATGTATTGAGTAATCATCGCGGATTTATTCCAAGGTAGCCATTTACTACATCCTACTTGAATTTTATATTTATTTTTATTAGTATTTATTTAGTCATAAAATACAGGTGGTGAGGAAAGAACGAATAGACGGTTTTTGAAACATTTTAAAGAACTCATTGAAATGTAGGATATTCATCATAGGTTTATAGCTTATTAGCGAAAGTTCCTTTAATAACAGGATATACTATTTTACAGCGACCCGGTAGACTTATTAGAGGTCTCAAGTTGACCCGAGGGCCAAACATTTTGGGGACCCTCTCTTAGAGTCTTGCCTTGACCCCCACAAGTGGGTCTTTTTATGTTTTTTATATTTTATTTTAAAGTTTCATAGTTTTCTTCTCTGTTGTTTTTGTTAATAGTTTTCCTTTTGTTTTTGTTATTGTCTTATTTTTTATATCACACAGCTCTATTACATATTGTTAGTGCACTAGTGCAGAATGTACTGTTTTTTTTAATAAAAAATATTAAAAAGAAATCCAATAGAATTTTAAGATAAAGAATTTGGAAAAAAAAAAATCAGATATAATTTTCTCATTGATCTTAAAAATATTCCTACCAGAAAGGACTTGGTAAGGATCCTTAAAACTGATCAATAAGGGCTGCTGGCTCAAAATGGAAAACATGCGGTCACACTCAGACCTTAGACAAGCCCTAAACATTGCCCAACTAGTTTATTTTTGTTAAATAATGCTATTATATATATGATGATATTAATTTTGAGATTAATCTTCAGTCAGTTATGATTTATTTTAATTAGTAGAAATATTGACCAAAAAATAAATTAATTACGTGATAAAGAGGACCTAGTAACGTTGAACCTAATTTTAAAAGCATTAGAGTGCTACCAATGGGTAGTTTCTCAACAAGCGTGTTTCATGTTATTATATTCCTCTGTACACATTTACTTGATGTATTCATACTAATACAGTTGTAAATATCGTAATAGAAGTTAAAAGTTAAATTTTAAAAGCGCAGTATCCGACCATCAAGTCAATTGATAGACCTATGTTACATATAAGTGTGTATGTGTGTGTAAATATATAATGATGGCATGACAGATGTTTTTATTTTATACGATGCATCTTCCTATATTTTATATTTTTATTTTAAACAACTTTTAAAACATCAATAATAAAAAACCTAACAACCCCGGTACCCTCGGTTCGGCAACTCCTTCTCCCATGAGGGAGCTCTATATATCGGAAAGTCATCATATGATCCACCAAAAACAGACTGCACTTGTAACATATTATATGTATTTTATAAGGTATAATATACCATTCTTTGGCGTAGGGTTTGAACATTTTGATTATGAAAATCGTAAATAATCAAAGAGAGTGATGTTACATCTGCTAACTATAGCACATTTGAATGAGAACTGTCAAATAAAATAAAAAGAAATAAAATTTAAATTCAATTATTAATGCGTTATAATTTATTTTTGCAAACATAATAATTCAAAATAACAAATCAAATTAGCAAAGACAAGAAGTTTTTTTCAATATCCGTTACGCGAGGTGGTGATGTCATCATCCACGCTCAAACTTTTAAACCCAAAAATGGGTTTGACCCTTATTCCACGAATATTTTCCGTTATTGCCGGTCTCGAACTCAGACCCGAGAGTTTCGCTTCCAATCATCTTCATTAGATATTTAGTAGCCTCTAGCTAATCCACTCCCATATTTTATGAATTCAAAGTTTTTATTATGTATATTGTTATATACTTTGGGATAACTTATACTCTTCCAGTAAAAATGTCCAATACTCTATTTTCTAATTTGCATTATTTGTTGGAAAAACAGTTATTTATCAATGCTTGTAATTTTATCTATAAAATTATTAAAATGATTCGAATTGTATTTTAGATGCGTACTTCTATTAGACAACGCAATTCCTGAATTTCAACTCGAAAATACATTTTATAAAGAGCAGCTTGCAAAAGACCTAGCAATAAACATTGTTAAAAATGGCAAATGGGGAACTTATAGGCATTTGAAAATTGAAGAGGTGACCAGGAAACCAGCCTTCCACGTATTCACTAATTTCCTAACCCGAGGTGATCTATCCAGCTTGAATTGGATTCAAGGGCCTATCACAGACATGAAGTAAGTTTATAATTTTATTTATATTACGAATAATTAATTAAAATAATATGATAACATTATTTTGTCAATTATAGTGGAAATAACAAGGTGATTATTAATTACGCTGCTCTCAACTTCCGGGATGTAATGTTGGCTACTGGGAAATTAGCGGCAGAAGTCATCGCCACAGATAGAAAAGCACAAGTAAATTTTATCAATTTGTATTTTCTTTTTAAATTTAAAGCTAATAGCACAATAGTATATATTATAATGTTTTTATTTTTGTTTCAGTCCTGTATTATTGGTTTCGAATTTGGTGGAATTGACCAGAATGGAAACCGTGTCATAGGTATGTCCCAATCAGGAGCTCTAAGTTCCATTGTTGAAGTCCATAAAAATCTTACATGGAATATACCTGATAGTTGGACCATGGAAGATGCTGTAACTACGCCAGTGGTGTACTCAACTGTGAGTTGGTGAATCAATATGTTTTGCATACTCTAATGATTAATCAGTCCTTCAACAGCTCATAAAAGAATAAGAGACAAGTAGTGGTAAAAATGACATCGTAGTTGGAATCGCTGTGACCGCGTGGCACTTTACCACTTAAACCAATACCGCCTAATAGTTGAAATACCAAGACCAAGACTGGTAAAAAAAATCGACTTTTTGAATAAAAATAAAGGCAAAATAGTTACTAATACAAGACAATTTTACTTACTATATGTAATGAATTGGTATAGCCAATATACTCTTGCATGGTCACTAAACCGCTTCCACTCAGGTTAATATGGACTGGTTTTCATTAAGGAGCCTTTTTAGGTTTTTTTTTTTTTTGTTACGCAGCTGTAGTCATCGCATATTTGAGAAAAAGGCGGAAAGCCGAATTGCCGAATTAGCTCCTCCGTTAGTAAGGTATAACCCCTTTAGGAAAACACCTACAAGCGTTCAATTCAGAATTCCATGTTTTGCTATCAGATTTTTTGTCCATCACAAGTCTTAAAAAATGATATCAGTTCATATAATTGGTACAAGATGCTCTTGAATCAGATAGTGATAGTGTTTAAGAAAAGTAACATAGAATAACCAAAATTATTTAATTTCAATTTTTTTAAATATATTTGTTTTGGGTTCGTAGGTACTGTATGCTTTTATAGAAAGGGGAAAGATTAAGCAAGGAGATACTATTTTGATCCACTCTGGAACTGGAGGAGTCGGCCAAGCAGCGATACATGTAGCATTGTTCAAAGGCTGCACAGTTTTCACAACAGTTGGCACACAAGAGAAACGAGATTATATAAAAAAACATTTTCCTCAGGTAGAAACGTTAGAATCTCTTATCAGCCTAGATTTGAATAGGTGCTATACATTAGATTTCATATTTTGTTTAAAATTAAACTCATATTTAACATTTTCAGATAAAGGAAAGCCACATAGGAAATTCCAGAGACACGTCCTTTGAACAAATGATCATGAGAGAAACCAATGGAAGAGGCGTAGATATTGTTCTAAACTCGTTAGCGGAAGAGAAGTTGTTGGCATCTGTGCGATGTTTAGCTAAAGGTGGCCAATTTTTAGAAATAGGGAAATTCGACTTATCTAGAAATAATCCATTAGGTAAGATATTGTGATATAAGTGTATATTTTATTTAAAATTACATACAGACATACATATTCGGCGCAATAAGCGGGTCTAGGTCTCATCGATCAGCTACCGCCCGACAGCTCTGTCTTATGCTCCAGCAGTCCAGTTTCTGGTGTTCAGCGGTTTCTCGGATCGACTTCCATACCATCTAGCGTTCGTGTTCAGGGACACCCTACTCCTGTTGCTCAGTACCTCTTCCGTCTTTATCTTTTTTGGGATCTCGGAATCCCCCATTCGAGCCACAGGACCTGCCCAAAACAGTCGTCCCAAATTTCTAACTCGTACGATATGGTATCCTTAAAGCATTACAGAGCTCCCTGTTTTTTCTTTTCCTACAGACCTCTACCTCTCTTACGGCTCCGAATAGTTTCCTGAGCACCTATATCTCAAAAATCAATGATCTATTTTCGTCCGCCTTAGTGGTTACACATGCCTCTGACCCATAGGTGAGCACCATACGCATAAGGGTCTTGTAAAGGTTGATTTTTCTACTGGAGGATATGTATTGCTCTTAAAATGCTTGGAAAGGCCATAAAGGCATCTATTTATAGCATTGGTCCGTCTGCTAATACCCTGAGATTCATTGTTTGTGGAGTTCATCTAAGTTACACAATTGTCTCTATTTTCTGGAACTTTTAGGGACCAATGTTACAGGTATGCGAAATGGCTTCCACCACAACCGACTCACATATATTAAATTTTTGCTCGTTAATTGTGAGGTCGAATTCTCTGGCAGCTGTTTCAAAAGCAATGAAAGCCTCCTCCAATGCCTGTGTTGATGTTGGGTGATGATGTCAACATCATCGGCATATCCCATCAACTGTGCAGTTTTGTTAAAGATGGTGGCCGTTGTCAGAATATTCTAGACAGCCATTTCTAATGCCACATTGAATAAGAGGCAAGCAAGGGCACGTCATTTTTTTACTCCGCTACTGTTTTCAAATACCTCAGATAGATTCGATCCCACGCGGACTCCACATTTTGAGTTTTTCATTGTCATCTTTACAAATCTTGTGAGTTTTATTTATTTAGAAACATAATAATCTGTCACGTGGACAATAATTATAGTGAGATATGAACACATTCACACCATGTATTATATGTATTATTATGTTTAAAATTAAGAAAAGTAAAATAACTAAATAATAATCAACAACTATATACAACTAAAAATTAAATAACCTACAGATAAAGAAATTATAAACATAAAAAGTCATACTTACATAAAATATATACAATCAGGCAGGGAACCCCAAGCCTGGCTTGTCCCTCCAACTACAGGGGAAAAAGGTGGACTTCAAGACATCTCTGCGCTACTCGCTCAACCACGTCACTGGTGCTAAAGCCAGTGAAGATTGAGCGAGAGCGCTTTAGCCATATACACTTATGTCTTGAGCGGGGAATCTGGCCATTATCAATACTACAAGATATATAATAAAAAAGATCTTCAGGCCACTGCCACTTCAACTTTCGAGGAGGATTGTAGTGATGAATGGAACTAGATAGAGATTGTGCAAGCGTCATGATTAAGTACCTTAAGGTCATGATGTAGGGTTTTGTTGGTTACATAGAACGGAGCATCAACTATTGTTCGTAGGACTTTGGACTGAAAGGATTGGATGCGTTTGATGTTAGAAAATTTTGCGGTCCCCCAAACTTCAAATTCGTAGGTCCTAATATGTTTCAGGATTGTCTTGTAGATCAGTAATTTGTTGTCGATAGAAAGTTTTTTTTTGAAGAGATTTTATATTCAGTATTCTGTTTAATTGGCCGTATCGTCTGTTAAGTTCTTGTTTTTTAAGACAAGATACCGAACTGTGTCTGAAAAAGGAATCTGGGTGGAATTAAAGTGGACTGGTGGACAGGATATGCATCGGAGCGTGAAGGTAATGTGTTTGCATTTGGATTTGTTTACTTTGATGCGCCATTTATTACACCAGTGCTCAATTAGGGAGAAGAGTCTTTGCAGATTTAAATATGCTCTTTCGGCATCTGAGTTGGATAATAGGATGGCGGTGTCATCAGCAAATATTGCTAGAAAGGTATCGGGCTGGATAGGGATATCAGCGGTAAAAAGGTTATAAAGGACGGGGCCCAAGACGCCACTTTGAGGAACACCGGCTTTAACTGGGTAGGAATTGGATAATTCTGAGCCACAGTGAACTCGAAAGGTGCGACCAGAGAAGTAGCAGCGGAGGATTAGCTACAAGGACTTGGTTTTTTTAGTTTGGAAAGAAGCCCGGCGTGCCAACCCGGTCAAAAGCTTGAGCTATGCCAGATAAGCACAAGAGAAATATTCCTTGCTTTCCAGAGCTGCAGAAATATGATCGAACCCTTGAAATCCTTGTTATAGTGTGGAGTGTTGTGAACGAAATCCGAACTGATGGGAAGAAAGATTTTGTGATTCTGTAAAGGATAGGGATCGTTTCAGGAGGATCTTTTCAAAGATTTTTGAGAGAATCGGTAGTAGGCTAATTGATCTGAAGGACGTTGAAGTGTTGGGAGGTTTGCCTGGTTTTGGAAATAGGATAATATTTCAATGTTTCCACAAAAAAAGGAACGTGGGTGGTTCTTAGGATGGTATTGTATAAGTATGTAAAAAATATAACAGCTTTAGGAGGAAGTTGTCGGAGGATTTGAGAGGTAAGGAGGTCGTATCCAGGAGATTTAGGGAGATGAAGTTTTTGGATATGATGTTTTACCTTTGGAGGATTAACTCCTTTAGGTGGCATAGAAAGTGGAATGGGTGATGTAATGGAATTCTTCTACTGTCGTGGTAGGGGTGTGGTTGGATTCTGGATGAGAGGTGAATTTTCTGGAGAGGTGTTTGGAGAATTCCCCAGTTTTCTCTTCATCAGAAGCTGTCCAGGAGCCATCGCATCAACGTAGGGGATGTGAAATATGAAGGGATTTTGTTTGTGATGTTCCATAAAGAATTGTCATGAACAGAGAGGGAAGTAAGGTAGGAGTTGAAGGTGGCCAATTTCTGCTTTAATCGTTTCCTGTAATAATTATAGGAGCGACGATCGGTGGGGTGTCTGGCAAGGAGTGTCTATCAGGTATTGGGAAAATTATTTTTCTTAGGAATTTTCGAGGAGATATTTGGGAAAGAACCAGTCCAGATTTCCTGTTGAATAGTAGTGGTAAAAGAATGTACCTCATTATCAAGGTCTTCTGTGGTTTTCAGGGATGTTCCAAGGTAAATTTTATTAGAAAGGATTTGATGAGAGAGTTCCAATTAACTGTGCCTCTGATGAAGGACGGTGGAGGGAATTTGGGAATAGGAGTTAGGAATAGGAAGTTTGCCAAGACGGGTAAGTGAATAATTGAGGGGACGATCAAGGATTTCATGATTGCTGTCAGGATCAGTGGGCCAGTAGGTAGGTGAGTTCGGTGGAAGGAGGCTGAAACGTAGGGAATTGAGTGCCGACAGCAATGTTTTGCCACGAGAATTCATGGCTCTTGAACCCCATTCTTGATGCTTGTCATTTAAGTCTGCACCCAGGATGAAGTGATGACCTAAAGAGTTGAGGAGAGAACTGAACTGGACTTTAGATATGGATCTGTTAGGAGGATAATATGTTGATGCAAGGGTGACCGGAAAGGAGAGAGTTTTGATTACAATAGAGGTTGATTGCAGGACATCTTGAGTAGGTAATGGGAGTAACTGGTGTGCGATGACAACAGTACCGTTAAGATGGTCAGTGCGGTATGTTATGTACTGTGGAATTTTCAGAAGCTGTTTTCTGGTCAGTCGAGTTTCTGTAATTAGGGCTACGTCAATGTTCTTGTCTAGTAGTAAAGCTGTTAGTTCGTCGACCTGAATTCTGATACCATTCGCATTCAAAAGTAGAATAAATATGTGTTTGATGGGAGTCATTTAAGTATTTTTTACAGGAGGGATGAGGTGAGATACGAGATTTGTAAGAAGTGATATTTGTGGGGTAACCATTGTTTTGAATTGAATGAGGAACGATCGCAACAAACTGGTGAGATCTGTGGCATTTAAAGGAGCAGGAATATGAGGAATTTGAGGTTGTTGATGGTTAGGTACGTTAGGATGATCAGGACATTGAGTTTGGGATTGAGGCAAATGCTGTGGCACGGCTTCACATTTCTTAGTTGGATTCTTCCATCCAAGTAGTTCGGAGAATGATATATTATTATTCACTATTCTAGAAGGTTCTCTTCTTGGACTGGTTGTCACATGTTGAAGCCAGGTCTTCTGGTATCTGGATTTGACGTTCTTCTAAATTTGACAGCCTTTGTAGTTGGCTCTAGGCATAGGGCACAAACTGCAGGATCTTGCATCGGTTTGGTGCATTCTGCTGATTTGTGTTGTTCACCACATTTTACGCAATGCGGCAAGTGTTGGCAATAAGTCTTCGCGTGGCCGTATGCCTAAATATTAGGGGCATCGCACGATTTCCCTCTTGGGGTACGGCTTCTTACGATAATGTAGTACAATCTCGTAGTGGTAATTAATTGTAGTGGTAATTAATCTAATAACAGCATGTGGAACTGAGGTTAGAAATAATTATTCCACTAGTCGTGAACAATGATTTAAGTAAAGATGAAAAGGAATACATTAAAAAGTTGAAATCGGAAAGAAAGAAATTTTTCAAAAGCATTATGCATGCTTTATATTTTTGTTTATGATTTGAGGAGCAGAAGCTAATAATCTAGGAACAAAATCTGAAGCCCCCATCCCAAAATAATGGTAAAATGTAACAATGTTTTATGGAAAAAAAAATAAAAAAATTATCTCTTAAAGTATTATTGTTCGTGTCATTACACTTTATAGGACTGCAAGGATCACTTAAAACACCATTCCGTATAGGTAGTTAGCATCTTTCAATTTTTTTAAAAGTAATTATCGTTATATGTATAGAATAAAAAGCTTTAGGGCTGAAGCCCCCAAAATTAAATCCTGGATCCACTAGTACACTACTGTGAATGATGAGATATTGGAGGTAGTAGAAAAATAAGTGGTGTCGTGAAAGTTAAAGAAACTTGGACCTATTAAATAGGTTTTATTCAAATTCACAAACACAATAATTTTGAAACATCATCATAAGTTTTGTTATTAACGTGTGCTTTAACCAATGATATACATTACATTACGAATCGTGAAGGCAGTGAATCAGATTGGCACATAAAACACCCTCTCCCATATTAATTCTTCATGAAAAAATTAAATATATGCCATTGTAGAGTATTTATTTATTTTATCCTGACATTATTCATTTACGTATTTAAACTTAGAGTGAAAGTTTTAGTCTTCTGTATATTGGTAACCTCTGTGTGTTGTGAAAATAGCAAAAAATTAACTTGAAAAATTCAGTATCTTTAACCTCTAGCAGATGACAAACAATAAATTAAACCATTTTTAAAGAATATCACATGAATCAGCTTCACAAATCATTGAATATTTTTTTGTTTTGTTTTTTTCTTAGGCTTGGAACTATTTGCTAAGGGGTGCAGTTTTCAAGGTATTCTCTTAGATTTGATCTTGGATAATCAGAATGGGAAAGAAGCAGAGGTTATACAAAATTTATTGAAAGAGCATATTAACAATGGTTGTGTGAAACCAATTAATTATACTGTTTTCAAGCACGACCAGATTGAAGCAGCATTCAGGTGAAATAGGATATTTTGTTCATTTAATTGTTAGGTAGTTTCCTTACTTTATTTAATTTAACTTTAATTGATTTATTACAAAGTATCTTAAATTAGCTCAAAAACGTTTAATCGTTTTGATAATTAATACAGTTAAATAACTATCTGCATAAAAGGGCCTGGAAAAAACGAAACGAATGAACTATTGGCGAACGGAAGAACTATGTAAATAAAAACAACTGTTCTTATCTGTTTGAAAGAGCAGTTCATTCTTTTGAGTTGAGGCTTTCGTTAGAAAACATAAAACAGTTTGGAGTAGCGATACGAATAAACGACTCGACTTGTGCCGAACGAAAGAATTAATTAAAAACAACTGTTCTTATCTCTTTAAAAGGACAGTTTAATCGTTTGAAATTAAGAACTGTTGTTTTCAAACGTTTTGCGTTTTCTCTTTCACCCCTATTGAAGACTACGATCGATATCTTCCTAATAATTCATCTATATGTTTTATATTAATTAACAATATAATATCAACGACAATAGGATATGTGTAGAAGGAAAATCATTCTCGAGAGTAGAAAATTTCGAATACCTCGGCTCCACAATAATCTCAATGAATGATCAATGGTCAGAAATAGACCAGGGTATAACTAGTGCAAACAGAGATTTCTTCTCCCTTTCGAAGGTTTTCAAATCCCGAAAAATCTCAAGAAATTTCAAATCAAGGGTTTACAATGCTATGATAAAAGAAATTTTCTAATATATGGCTGTGAGCCCTAGATATTAGCGAACACCCTAGAAGAAATATATATATATATATAAGTAAAATTAACAAAGATACACTAGAGCTGCGTGCAGATAACTGGAAAGAAATAGTTCAAGACAGGCAGAGATGTCTTATTAAGGCGGCAAAAGATCTACAAGGTCTGTAATGCCAATAGATTAATTAATTAACAAACAATATTAGTTGTTATAAATTGCAGAATACATATTTTACATTAGTTTTCATTTATTTTTACTTCACATGTTCTAGAAGCCTAGTAAGGTTTTAAAATTGCTCTGATCTATCTAGGTACATGACAACTGGCAAGCATATTGGTAAAGTTATCATTGACGTAAGAGGTGACAATCCAAATTCATTGTCAAAAAATGTTCCAGCGATGATTGAAGCTCTTCCACGTTTCTATTGCAAATCACATAAGACATATATAATCATCGGTAATAAAAGAATAGTTGAAGTAATGTTCAATATTTTTGTTGAATCCAATTAATTTCAGAAACATTTCAGGCGGTCTTGGTGGTTTTGGACTAGAATTGGCTGATTTATTAGTTCTCAGAGGAGCGAAGAAACTTGTGCTGACTTCCCGGAGGGGAATAACGAATGGTTATCAATCTTACAGGATCAATATTTGGAAGTCCTACGGTGTAGATGTGCAGGTGTTCACTGATGATGTTACAAGCGAAGAAGGGGTCAAGTCACTACTCGAAAAAGCATCTGCATTGGGCTCTGTTGGAGCAATCTTCAATTTGGCAGTTGTACGTTGCAATTTGTTCTTAATGTTATAATTGAACTTTTAATGTATTTTTGTCATTTAATTTGTTGTTATTCTTTAAGGTTCTAAAAGATGCCGCTTTTGAAAATCAAACTGAAGATGACTTCAGATGTTCTTTAAGTCCTAAGGCCAAGGCGACTAAATACTTGGATCAGATATCGAGAAAACTCTGCCCTGAATTAGAAAAATTCGTCGTTTTTTCAAGCGTAAGTTGCGGAAGAGGAAACGGAGGCCAAACAAATTACGGAATGGCTAACTCCATAATGGAGAGGATATGCGAAAAGAGGGTGTCTCAAGGGTTGCCTGGCCTGGCTATACAGTGGGGTGCGGTAGGAGATGTTGGTCTTGTTGCCGAAATGATGGATGATCACAACGTTGAAGTAGTTATAGGTAATAACGGATATATTTTATACAGTCAAGAACATTTTATACATTAATGAAACATTATTTATTCTAATGTTATGTAATATTAATAATGTTCCCGAATGAAATTTAGAATGTTAATTTGCTTCAATATGGAAAAACTACAGCCCGAAATCCGACTTTAATGATTTAATGAGATTCAGGCTAACAACCAAGGAAGAGCATCTGTTTGATAATTTTACCAAAAAATAAATTTAAGATATCTGATTCAAAGTTTGAAAAAAAACTTTATTAATCAATATTATGAAATGGGTATGTTTAGGAGGTACTTTGCAACAAAGGATAACGTCCTGCTTAGAAGTCATGGATGAATTTTTAATGAATCAAACAGGAATCGTGGCGAGTATGGTAGTTGCTGAAAAGAAATCGAGAGGCTCTTCTTCAGACAGTATTGTTGGCACAGTTGTTAATATTTTAGGTAAGTATCGTTCAAACTTTCAATATTGCATAGTTCTTATTTGTATTAAATGCCAGAAACATGAGATAAATGAATTACAGTTGAAATTATAATTGAAATTATAAAAGTAATGTTTTTTAGATAAGTTGAATGGAGTTTTCTCTTTAACTACCCCCAAAAGTTGTGCAAACAATTATAAAATAACTTGATAATATACCTATTTAAAAAATGATATTTTAATGTTAGTTATTTAAATGACATATTACTGATTTGAAATGATATAATCATTGCATGGTCCCATCCAGGAATAAGGGATTTGAATACGGTCAGTCTCCATGCCAATTTGGCTGAACTTGGTATGGATTCAATGATGGCGGTGGAAATAAAACAAACTCTCGAAAGAGAATTTGAAGTATTTTTGACGCCGCAAGACATTAGAGGCCTGACTATAGCAAAACTTCAGGAGATCGCCGCAGCCAAAGCAAATGAAGATGCAATCACAGGTAAATAGAACCGTGATATTAATCAGACCAATGACAATTAATTGACTTTGACAAATATATTGAACGATCAAAAGCTTGAAAGGCTTTATACTTTGATTTATAGTTATTATTAAATCAATTAATGTGTTTGTGTATGAACATGTTTGGATACATGTTCCATTCTTATAACTCTATAATTCTATTAATATTTAAAAAATAACGCTTCCTATAACTTGAAATACCTATCAATATTATACGGATATTAAATTTTAAAAAATAATTGTTATCGTAAGGACTTCACCCTAGAACTTCATCTGGGCTTGCGGCTAACAGGGGATCTTTTAACAAGGCTGGAGAAACTGTCGGTTGTTTCAGACCAATTAATTCTTTAAAAACGCTTTAGGATACTACAACTTGCAAATTTAAAATTAATTTTAATTTTACCTCCAGATCAGTGGAGAAGGGACTGGATAAATAAAAGCAAAACATAAAATTAAAATAATATTTATTAAAGAAGAGAAAAAAGAAAAGAAATGGAAGTAACGTCGTTTTCCAAGATAAAATTTTTAAATAATGAAACAAAACTATTAGGGAAAATATTAGCAAAATAAATAAAATTCAAGAAATAGGAAAAATATAACAGATATTTTAATAAATTATCTTAAGCTCTTAATATGCAATGACCATTAAATTCTATAAAAAGGAAAAAAAAATGTTTGGACTTATTGATCAGTTGAACTTGGGCCACATAGAGCATTCTTATGTCTCAAATGGGGCACGCACCTCTGCTGAGTCAAATTTCTAGTATCGTCGTCCTCAAAACCAAGCCCCGACCAAATAAATAAAACCAAGGGTTTTGTATCGGATCCTCTCGATTTGATACTTTTTTAAAAATATATTTATTGAGAGATATTATAATCTGTCAATTTGATACTAGAACAATTATAGAAAAATAAATAGAGATAAATAAATCCGGCGGAGCAGATATGGGCAAATGCTACTTCGAGTATTGAGAACTAAGTGTTTTTCTCAAATACTCACCTTTTTTGAGTACCAAAGAATTTAATTACTACTTAAGTTGATGTTAAACGGTTAAATAAAGTAGTCATTGTATTCCCAATAGTGGTTCAATTTGAGTAAAATACTTGGTACTCGGTACTCAGAGTTGCATTGGCCCACCCCTGCGGCGGAGCCGTTTAACTGGACTTGACTGCATCAGACTCGTAAGGCGCTGTGCTCGGCTGCACTCTGCAGTTTTGTCCTCCTGCCTCGGATTAAAGGTTGGCTGATTAGGCTTTTGTTATTATTTTATAAACAACTTACTATTTACACAATATATACATCTAAACATCATTACTTTTACCTCAATCAGGATCTTTTTCTTATTCATGAAATCAAAATATGAAAACTTTTAATAAAAAAAATAATAAGAAAAAATGGTGCGCGCATAACAATACTTCCACTTACTGCTCTACTTTGAATAGAAATTATTTTCTGGCGATGTTAGGGTATTACATAGTTTTTTAAATGCATTTTGTAACGGAGCTAAACCTTCAACCTTACAGCTAACCTTTAACAACTCATTATGGTCATTAACATTATACAAACCCTATTTATTATATCGACGGTAGGCAATAAAAACCTCATAACTCAATCTGTTTAAAATTATATCAATAATTTAATTTTATTTCAATATCTGTTTTTGTGAACGACTAACACCAGTCTCTGAGCTATATATGTCTATAGAGATTTGATACATTTGTATTTTAAACCTATAAATGATTGTACCACAAATTATAAAAGGATTGTACTACTATTAGTTAATAAACTCTTATTTTCTCATAGTAAAGTTTACTAAAATGGAGTTGGTTACCATCGATAGGTCAACAGTTGTTACACTAATTGTAAGTTGATAATGATTTTTTGAAATTAACCGACAATAGATATCTAATTATTTAAATATATTATCATAATTTTTTTTAAAAATCTTTTTATTGAGAAATAATACATTTTGCTACATTTAAGGGCACTGAGTACTAAAGCTGAGTGAGGCCCATTCATATTATATATATAATGCAATAAAAAAATAAATAAAAATATATATATCTATATAACAAAGATAAACTCTATAAAACCAAAGAAATGTAACTTGAAATCAAATTAAAAAATGAAAAATGAAAAAAAAATACAGAAATTGGTAGCAAATTAAATAAGTCATAAGTAAAACAAATAAATATATAAAAAAGAAAAACATTCATACTTAATATATAAAAAAGAAAAACATTCATACTTAATATATAAAAATGAAAAACATTCATACTTAATTTACAATATTTACAATCAGCCAAGGGAGCTCCGAGTCCTGTCCTTTCCTCCACGTATGAAGGACAAAGCGAGATTCTAAGAGATCCCAGCGCTTCTCTCTCAGCCGCGTCACCGGCAGGAGTCCATTGGAAACTGAGAGAGGGCACTAAAGCAACAGAATTATCATAAATAGAGTTATTAAACTACAGTAAATGTATTTAAGAATATAAACATATCTTTTACACATCACATTACATACAAGTACAAGGTGTATTTATAATTTTTTCGTAAATCTCTCTTACCTTCTATGACTTTGCTTGTTTGATATTTTTTTCTTAAATTCTTAGCTTTATAACGGTATTTTATACGCATGCCATCTGACTATTATTTCCGGAAATTCATTTTCGACCTAAAACAACATTTTTCCTTTTTCCTCCTTAAATAAATTATCAAATTCTTTCATAGTTTATGAAGGCCCTTTTCTTATTACTATTATCAATGAGATGCAGTTAATTATCTTAAACAAACCAAATTAAAGGTGCTTTACAGGAAGACATTTTGGCACTTAAGCCCTGTTAAACGACATCAATGAGGATCTGACCATTTAATTGTACCGTGTTCAATCATAATGGTTAGAGCAACTTTGGAGAAAATCGTAGAAATGTATAAAATCGATGTCATAAAGTGACACTTTCGGCCAGCTGATTTTCAAGAAGAAGTTACTGTAACATCCCAGGCATATAGGTACTTAACTGAAATACGGAATACCATTTTCGTACGACTTTTCATTTTCGAGCTAGGCTGATCACACACACTTGGTTATTTGGACTCAGGGTATCTCAAAACGTATACTTCCGTTGAAAGCTCAGATTCGAAAATTTTCACGATCGCAATTCTTTCCTTATATATTACATATATAGGAGAGTGAAAGTAAACATAAATAAAAAGATGTAACAGTCTTCAATGCTCCTTTATATGTAATAAATGGAAATATTTCCGACGACTTTAATGTCCGATATAATGGCGATCCTTCCATCATTAACATCAATACCCTTTAAGCCTTGTTTTAAAACCCATTTATGATGATTCTTCTTGTCTTTTAAAGAGAAAATCACATCGTAACTTTCTCGCTGTCATTGGAATGCCAGTAATGTATAATTTCATCACAAGTCTCGCCGTGTAATATTATTGAGATAGCACATACAGTTATTTTATTTATATACACAGCTGTTAATTTTAATACATATATACGTATTTAATATTTATTATTTATTGTTAATTTATGAAATCATTTTAATTATAAAATATTTATTTTGTTAAAATGTTTGATTAAAACAACAAATAAATAACACAAATTATGAAACAAATCTTTTAGATGATGGGAAGAACACAGAACTTCCTATACAAGAGCTTGAAAAATACCTCACGCATATGGTGGCAGAACCTGAAAATTACGAACCTATTGTAAAATTGAATTCATTACCAAACGACGATAATAAAATTAGGAAGAAATTATTTATGATTCCTGGCGTTGAAGGTTAGTCAGAATAATTAATAATCATATCGTAATTAAACTACAATAAATTAGAATGAATGTATTTAATTTAATTTTATACTATCTTACTTGTATATTTAATATTTAATAAAAAATTTACTGAATGAAATTTAAATTTTAGGTTTCCCTATTATTTTTGAAAAATTAGCAAAGCATATGGATCTTGACGTTTTGGGCATTCAGCTCGATTACACAACTTATTCAGAAAGAGTAGCCGAAATAGCTGCTGCATTTGTTCCGGTAAGCAACAAAACAAATAATATAATTCAAAATAATTAACGTTTCATTAATATAATTGCTTTATATTTTGACACAGCAAATGATTTATCCTTAGAAATTAATCACTCTTTTATAACATCTCAAAGGACTATTGAATTCTTACAGGGAGCGGGTACAGTCTGTGGGTAACCGATTACAATAATATTTTTTTTTGTTATTCTACACCGAAAAATACAATGACGCGTGTCCCGGCGTTCTTTCCAATGGGCCCTAGGAGCCGAGAACAAAATTTATATTATTTATTTTTGCCTTTGCTCTGACCGGGTTTTTGGTTACGATATATCAATCGTTTTATTTTTTTGTGCACAAATAGAAAAATATATTAACTATGGTATTAAATGAGTTATAATGTATTATAAATTACAAAAACCAAAAGGTGCTTTCAGTAAAGTAGGTAAATTAAATTTTTGTTGAGAAAAAGCAAATTAGATTCCTTTAAAACTCGGAATACGAATTGTTATGTAAATAAAAAATTCAACCTTTAATACTTGATTTTCTTAGCTGATTTTTTTTCCGTCCGTCAATAAAAGCATTCATAATCCCTCAGAGTTTTCTTCAAATTCAACTTTAATACAACCGAAAGCTGAATTAATGTTCTTCGATCTGACACCGATAACTTTCCGCTGTCATTTTTTTCAAGCTAGAAAAAAATAAAAAAATTCTAGCCCGTTTTTATTTTACATAGTTACTTTTAATTTGTCTATGAAGGTCGGTTTTATACCATTTCTTGTTTCACATTAAAGCCTAAATCCCTATTCATTTTCATGTGGATTGATGAATCCGTTTTAAACTTATCACAAGTTTTGCGGTTGTTGATAAAATTTCGAGGAAAAAATTTCGTGCAGAAAATTTCAATTTTCCGATTGCCATAAAAATTTGTATTTAAGGGTTTTTTGAGTTGCGAAAAACGAATATAAACTTTGTTTCGCCCTAAAAAAATAATTAATCCACTATTGCCATATTGCTTGGTTGGTCCGTATTTTACCCATAACAGTAGCTATTTGTCAAATATAATATTTATTAAAAACTGGCCTGGTATCTAGAGTAAGTAATTATTTAGGAAGAAAAAAGTTGATATTCGTTTTTCGCAACTCAAAAAATCCATACGAATTTTTATAGCAAATTTTTGTCTAGGCTGACGCCTTCAAAATTTTGGCAACAAACACAAAACTTGTTATAAAATTAGAACGGCTCCACCAATCAATACAAAAAAAAAGAAGGGATAAATAAAGGATTTAGAGCTCTATATGCTACACGAAATGGTGTAAATTCGACTTCCGTAATCAAATAAGAACCTAAAGTAAAAAATAAAAATGATTGCGAAGCTTTTCTTAATTTCTAATTTAAAAATGAATGAATTCTAAAAGTTATCGAAGTGGGCTGGAGGCGTAGTAATTCAGATTTTCAACGGTAGAACTAACGTTGAACTTGGAGAAAATCCTAAAAAGTAATGAATGCTTTAGTTATCGGCCTGAAAAAAGAATCCTCTAAGAAAATCAAGTATTAAATATTGAATTTTTCATTTATATAAAAAATCGTATTTAAGAGTTTCAAAGGGCACTAATAACGAATCTAACTTGCTTTTTCATTACAAAAATGTATTTTGGCTACTTTACTGGAAGTGCCTTTCGGTTTTTCTAATCTATGATACATTACAACTCATTTAATACAATAGTCAATATGTTTTAGACAAAAAATAAATCGATTGATATATAACTAAAAACCCGGGCAGAGCAAATGCAAAAATAAATAACTTGTATTTTGTTATAAATTATCTCAAATATTTTTTTTTCTCGTCGCCTAGGGTGCATTGGAAAGAAGGCAGGGTCACGTGGCTAATATTTGTCGATGTAGTATGACAATCAATTTTGTTAAAATAGGTGACCCAAAGATTGTTAGTGTAGTGTTGTGAAGTTTTAAACAAAAATTGGAAATCATAGTATTTCTGTGATTCGAATACTAATTTTTTTTTGTTCCACTGTTTATTGAAGATAATAGTGCTTTGTCAAGATACAATCTTAGGAAATAAATTATATCTACCTCAATATGTTTTTTTTTTTTTTTTTTACTGAGGTACCTACTTCATAAATTGCTGGGTTTAAATTTCATTCAATAATTTTAAAACAACCATTCAAGATTCAGAATTTCTAATGTTTTATTAATGATATCATAGGTGATAAATAGACAGGAAGCAGTCATTTTAAAGGTTTTTATTAGTGCTGGCGTTCCAACCTAAACATTTATGTCATCATCAGGGCTGAAAAAATGTTTAATACAATAAAAAATATAATATAATAAGACCGATCTCATATCTCTGATTTGGTGAATTATCCATTTCATCAATGAATTAGCAAATTTATTAAAACACTGGGACCATCCATCAACATCAAGAATACACGTCGCCGCTGAAATCCACCACATCAGAAATATGATATCTAATGTATTATATTATATTTTTGATTGTATTAAACATTTTTTCAGCCCTGATGATGACCCACATGTTTAGGTTGGAACGCCAGCACTAATAAAAACCTTTAAAATGACTGCGTCCAGACTATTTATCACCTATGATATGTAGAACAGTCGACTAACTTCCTTTAATAATTTATTAATTATAGTTATCATTGTTGAATTACTCTGACATCGACAATCATTCTATTCATATGGTTTAAAACGTTTCTTCCCTCTTGCTTTGAAACGACGTTTGGCAGTTTGAAACCATGTTCTGAGGCAACAATCTGGATACTAGCGGGTTCAGGATTTTATTTATTTTTTTTTTGGGGGGGGGCTTCAGCTCGAAAGCCTTTTTTTCAGTGACGATAATTACTTTGGAAAAAAAGAAAGAGAGTAAATACCTTTATGAAATGGTGTTTAAGTGATTCTTGAAATCCTGTCAAATGTAATTACGCCTACAATAATACTTTAAGAAATGATGTTTTAATTTTTTTTTCCATAAAACATGGTTATATTTTACCATTTTGGGAGGGAGGCTTCAGCCCGAATGCCTCCTCCCCTCTTAGATCCGCCTGTGGTGGTGGAACACAGATTGTGGTGTAGTAAATCAAAAGTTGGTTTGCCGATGTTAAAAACCTATCTTTCGTACCATAAATGCAATTGTCTAGCTGAAGTTCTCTGATATTCTTTGTGACTTAAGCATGTTCCATTCATTGACATCAGAAAGGATAGCCTCTTCCCCTCCTCCCACTCCCCCTATTACTTCATGATCACGCGTAATTCAACTTTTACTTCCTCGACTTTTATTCTGAAATTTATCCTGGAAATAATAATGATTTTATTTAGTTTCGTAGACGTTACACTTTTTTTTATTTCTGTTTAATTATCGTAATATATAATAATTATATATGACACATTATTTCATTAATAATAAACTTTTTTTCCACAGGCCATATTATCACATCTGACCGATAAAACCTTTAACATTGCTGGATACTCATTTGGAGGCTTGATTGCTATTGAACTGGTTCGTCAACTAGAAAATCTTGGCTACCAAGGAAATCTGATTTTGATCGACTCTTCGCCGGAATTAATGAAACAAATGGCATATACAGATTATTCAGATAAATTAGATAACGTTGCACAACTCAATATAATTTTGAAGGTGTTCGACTATATTGGCGCGGGTAAAGTTAGAGCCGAGGTAAGCTATTTTTTATTTAAATAAAGATCTTAATAGAATTAAATATATATTATTTCAAGCACTAGATTCTGCTCTCTATGTCTTTTAAACCATTTTTTAATGTTATTTAATTTTAACAATGTTACATGAATTTAACCTTAGGTTTTCGTTTACGAATTACAAAAATTAATGTATTTTATTACGTTATTGAAACTTTATTAGAACTCAAATCATGATTGTTATTGCGGTATTATAGCTATTGGAGATTTCATTGATGTGATGATTCTGTTATGCGAATTTCATTAGCATAACAGACATTAAAAATTTAGAAAACAAAAATCTTTTAAATTTATATTAATAAAAACACCAATTTAGTAGTAAACGACTCACTTTTCCCAAGATAAAAAAACCTACAGATTAAATATAATTTAAAAAAGATATTTACTCAAAAATTAAAAAAAAAATCATTGATTATTATTTATAAAAAAACAAAATTAACATCATATTAGGGATGGAAATTAAACTATACAATTTGTACATTATATATATATATATATATATCTTTGCATATCATATGATATATCATTACATATCATATTATACATCATTGCAAATAAATTATGTAACTGTTAAGTGTGGCTTAATTTATTCAAAAACAATAAATTCTTGATATGCTAATTTATTGTGAACTATAAAGTTAAACAATATAAGGCAGAAATATAACTGAAGTTATGAAACAATTTAAAACATGTTTTTCAATGTTACAGGTGATGGAGTCATTACGACAAATACCTGAATGGGATTTGAAACTAGATTTCATGCAGCAAACGTATAAAGCGAAATTGCCTATAAGCGAGAAATTCTTAAAACAATTATTCCATGCTAGTTATTGTAGGTTATTATCATTATATGAATTTGGTGACTTCCCAGAAAAGTGTATTTCATCAAAAGGTTCACTAATTAAACCTAAAGAGAAACTTTCTGCTGCTTTAAATGAGGACTATGGATTGTCAAAGGTAATTGGAATTTTCCAACCAGACCCAGTTATTAAATCTTAATTTGTGTTAAATAATCCTTTGAGAATCATTATTCTAATACAACAGAAATTTTTTTAAAAGGAATGATTAAATTAACTATAAAAATTTATTTATTTGATATTGAAATCTCTTTCATACTTGACAGAGAAGTAGGTATTTTTTTTGTTTCCAGAAAGCATAAATATTCCCGAAGTATATGTTGTAAATGTACTTGAATGATTCATTTATATTATATCTAAATTATTTAAGGCCACAGTATATAATTTAATAATATATGAATAACATACATATATCATTAATGTGCATTAACAAAACATTCAGTGTCTGAGCAAAAATGTAAAATTGACTAACATCACTATCACTCTATTCCCTTCATTTCATGTTATTTTTCTTTATGGGAGTAAAAAGGTTTGTTTTTGTTAAGTTAAGATAAAGGAATTTTATGTGAAGAAAATAAATAAAATGAAATATTAAATTCCATTGACTAGTACCAACCAAAAAGTTCCATGAATTGAGATTGGTTTAGCACTATTGACAATAAATTTTGACAATACTATCACTATCAAAGTTAACAATATATTTTGGGGTGCCTGATTCTCAGCATTTATGAAGATTTTTATCGCATTGTCTCCAGTCCTGAAGCGGATCAGACTTGTGGGCATGACTAAATAGTTACTTATATAAAAAAAAATTAAATAAAAAAAAAACATGGAATTAAAATAGCGAGAAATGGCACATGACTACCAAATAATTACTATTAATGATGTGATCATAATTGTTTACTGCATCATTCAAGGGATGCGATAATATTTCTCAAAATCATCTTTGGTAGTAAAGCTCTCAGATCCTTTGCATTTTATGACTGAAACAAACTTAGCTAAAAATGTGAGGAAGTTATGTTAGTTTAAAACCATAAATTGATTTTAAAAAATAAAACATATGATATAACCTAGTCAGCCAAGATATTAGTGCAAAAGTTGAGTCAATTTTTAGTGTTGAAACCATCTACAAACAAGTCAAGAAGTTTTAACTTGTTTGTAGAAGCAGCCCTGTGGCCTATTATACATATATTAATTTAAAAAATAAATTATATTTAGTATAAAATATGGGCTATTTAGGCTGTTACTAAATTAAATGATGAATAATAATGTGAGTAAAATAAATTAATATGCCTCACCTCAGTTATGGTAATTAAAATAGAACTGACATAGGAATAACTTTTTTACAGGGTTACACTGATATGTAAAAGACTGTGTTAGACTTTAAAGAATCTTTGAATTTAGGATATATTTGTCCAATTATAGAATTAAATAAAAAGATAAATATGTTGTTCTAATATAATGAATTTGTTTTCAGTATTTCCAAAGTCCATTTTCTGTGTATAGTGAGGAAGGAAATCATATCACAATATTATCTAATTTGAAAACAGCTACAACAATCACTGAAATTATTAACCATGAAGAACCTTCCCTAGAAAAAATGTCACTTCTTCACCCACCAGTCGACATTACTGTAGTGAGAGAAAATATTAAACAAATTTAATGGGACTGAATAATTTATTCAGACTTATATAATTGTATGTACAAATTACTTATGTCCATAAAATATAATAAAGAATATTTATCACATATGTTTCCAGCTTATCAATTAACTTTTCCATAAAATCTTGTTCATTTTATAAAATCTATCATTACATTTTTATCTAATAATGATGTTTTATTAATTACATAAATTTACTGAATGAAATGAAGAAAAATGTAAAAATACCTAAAACATTTTTCATAAAAAAACAGTATTTAATACTGTCATGTATAAGTATGAATTCTGCCTTCTAATATTAATGAAACGAAATGATTTTTTAGATAAATAATACATTTAGATTAATCTACGATGCATATTAAAAATAAAGTTGGACCTATCTGGCTATCCCAAATCCTGGAACCATTCCTAAATATTTACTATTTATCGCTATAGGAACCAGTCTTCCTCATTCAGAAAAACAAATGTTCATTTATAGAAATTTAATGTTCCTTTCAGATTTTTAGAAATATGATATATACACAATGGGTCACAAATTGATTAAATTTTGGAATTTTTCATGTAAAGATTACTTTTCAGACAATAATACTTATGAAACTCTAAAATCACTAGAATTATATTCATAAAATTTAAACACAATGAAAGTTTATACACATTCAGAACATATAATACAAGTTATCAAACTCTGCCTTCCAGCTTTACTACCCGCACTCCTACAAATATATAATTTCTCTCTCCAAAATTCCATTTTTCCCAAATCCTGGAAAAGAGCCATAGTCCGTCCACTGAACAAAGTTCCAACTCCTTCATCAGCTTCCGACTTCAGACCCATCTCCATTCTATCCAATCTATCCAAGCCTCTAGAAAGATTAGTTCACTCTCAGTTGAACAGCTTTCTCGAGCAAAACCATCTCCTTAATCCCTTACAATATAGTTTCCGTTCCCAGTATTCCACCCAGTCTGCCTTGCTAAGGATTACCCAAGATCTCCAATCCGCCATAGATAAACAGAAAATCTCCATCCTAATTCTCTTTCACTTTTCCAAGGCGTTTGATTCCGTTAATCATCAGATCCTTCTTTCCAAACTCCAAAGCCTGCCCATGTCAAATAGCGTCCTAAAATGGTTCCTATCTTTCTTATCTAATCGATCTCAGACGGTTACAATACCGAATAAACCTCCATCATCATCACTGCAATTAACGCGAGGTGTTCCTCAGGGTTCCTCACTCTCCCCGACCCTTTTCTCCATCTATATTAATGACCTACCTAACGCCATTCAACACTCCAATTACCACCTATATGCCGATGATTTCCAAATATACCAATCATTCCAACCTTCTGAGATGCCTGAGGCTGCCCGGAGGCTACAAGAGGACATCGACTGCATCAACAGATTCAACCGGGCAGAAATAAATGAATTAAAGCTGAATGCAGATAAAACCAAGGCTATTATCATAGGGTCCAGACATCTCATCAGCTCTACTCTACTCTCTACTTTACCTCAATAACCATCCCATCCATTTTTTCCCTACAGTCAAAAACCTAGGAGTAACCTTTGACCAGAACCTCTCCTGGGAGAATCATATCTCCAAGATTACCCGAAAATCCATAACTGTCCTTAAACAACTCCTAAGATTCCGTGATTGTATTCCTATAAAAACCAGACAGCTCCTTGTAACCTCCCTTGTATTCTCCCATTTCGACTACGGCTGCTTGGTGTATGGAGGGCTATCTGCCAGGCTGGAAATGAGACTAAAAAGACTCATGAATAGTTTCATAAGATACATTTTCGGGATCCCCAGGCATTCACATGTTTCACTATGGTACACCGAGTTGAAGTGGCTTTTTCCTACTTCCCGACGACAATTCCTTATTGGTGTTTTCCTTTTCCAAGTCTTCAGAACCAAAAACCCTCCCTACATCCTGGAACTCCTTACTCTGCGCTCCTCTATCCACTCTTTCAATACTAGGTCTCAAGACTTATATATTCCCCCCCATAAAACTTTCTCCTTCAGCAAATCCTTCGTCATTCGTGCTGCTTCCTTATGGAACTCACTTCCTACCTCCATGCGTCAATCATCATCCACAAATTCCTTCAAACAACTCCTGTTCCAACACCTACTCCACATTCAAACTTCCCCTAACATGTAAAATTACTTGCATCTATACAATGTTTAATTTCAATCCATTGCACAATTGAAATAACAATTAACAATAAATTAGTTGGTATTTTTACTATGTCAGACTAAGTACATAAATTTGTAACTCTGTTATTATTCTTAGGGGACAGTAGTCCCAGAATAAAATTATTTTTTCATTCATTTCATAATATATAAATGAATGCCTCGTACTATTCACATATTGTTTTATCCGTTTAATTTATTCAATATTTTTAAAACTTTCAATAAGAGGTATTTTCATGGAGTACGGAAGAGTAATCTTCAACCACTACAAGTGGTTTTATATAACTATTGTATTTTGAGGAAAAATTCTTACAATCTTCACACTATTCAGCAGTACTGCTTCTGGGCTTCATTTATAATGGCTATTCAGAGTCCCAACTACTCTGTAGTTTCCACAGTAGATACTAGTATCAGACGATTGCAGGACCTTGCAGTAACTTAATAACTTTCATATAGGCCTTTCATCTCAGCTGCTAGAGTTTGACATTTCCATTTTTTTTTCCATACAGACTGAATTAGTGTTTCCATTGTTTTGTAAAGCGATATATATTATTTCAGCTTTCCTCATATTAATCACTTAACACTATATCTGTTCTGTAGTGGATTACAGTATGGTCAGTTATAAATGACTGATTCCTATATGATTTTATTTCTTCCTTCTGGATTAGATCTTTAGGTTGGTATTTACGTGTGTCCATGGTATTTATAATAAGGAATCGAGACATTCAATAGTTTTGTTTCCAAACCAATCGCTTGATGATAAATTTTTCAAACATCGTCATGTCTCTGCAGACATTCTGTTACAGCCAACGCTACACTCGAAAGTACTGGCACAGAGCCTACATTTGTCTGAAACTGTCTGTTGCTCCAGGACGTGTCGCAAGTAAGCCTTCACTGCTATGACCTGATCCTGGATTGCTGTCTCCGGAAACAGATTTCATTTAACCAGCCAACTAGTATATAACATTCTATCAACTTCAGTTTGCTGGAGCTGGTGAAAAAAAATTCCATGAAATGCTTTGAACTTCCATATTTCCAGTTGGTCACTGTCCGTGATAATGATGGATGCAGCAGCTTCTTTAGTAGCTAACTGTAATGCAGTGTGTCCATGGTATTTATAATAAGGAATCGAGTCATTCAATAGTTTTGTTTTCAAACCAATCGCTGGAACAGAATATCTCTAGAGACATGACTCTGGAGATATTCTGTTCCAGCCAGCGCTACACTCGAAAGTACTGGCACAGAGCTTAAACTTGTCTGATACTGTCTGTTGCTCCAGGACGTGTCGCAAGTAAGAACTCACTGTCAAGATCGCACATTATCTTATGAAAAAGTATCTCGATTTCTTTGAAGTAAACTCTGAGGGCTATTTCTTGTTTTCAACACGCCTCTTCAATATTTGTAAGACCTCTCCCACCTGCCTACTTGTTCCTATTAATATATCCAATTCCTGGAGTGAAGTTGTGGATGGATCTACAAGGATTAGAAAGGCATAATTTGAAAATACAGCTGGACAAAACCGAATTTTGTAAACGGGAATTATTATTTCTTGGTCATATTAAATTTTAAAAAAGCGTGGAACCAAATCCAGCAAAAATTGAAGTAGTTATAGACTCCAAATTACTGACTAACGAAAAAGAAATTGGAGGTTTTTTAGGTCTCACTGGCTTTCACCGAAAAATGATTCCTAATTATGCTAAGATAGCAGGCCCTCTGACCAGAGCCCTAAGGAAAGGCGTCATTATAAATCCTGATTTTTATAAAGCATCCTTTGAAAAACTAAAATTATTGATTTGTATTAACCCAATATTACAAGTTCCTAACTTCGAAAAGGACTTTTATTTAACTACCGATGCTTCCAATTATGCAATAGGAGCAGTATTAGCACAGAAGAAAGAAGGCAAAGAATTGCCCGTTTGTTTTGCATCTCGTGTCCTGAATAAGGTCGAACAGAATTACTCCACTACTGAAAAGGAGTGTCTTGCAATCATTTCAAACCATACTTTTATGGAAGATTTTTTTTCGTTTATACAGACCATAAACCATTAGAATATATGAAAACTTGTAAAACACAAAATGCCAGGCTCATAAGATGGAAATTGATGCTGGAAGATTTTGATTTCGAAATTAAGCACATTGAAGGTAGAGCTAACAAAGTAGCTGATCATTTGTCAAGATACCCTATCGAAAAAGAGGAAGTATTAGTCATCGAAGACGATGAATCCAGCAACTTAGGGACAGTCAATTCAGCTTCGTCTTCTGATAACAGAATAATCACAATTGAAGACAAAGAGAAACCAGTAAATTTCGAAAAGCATCAGATTATATTCACTAAAGGAATTGATACAAATAAAAAGGAAACACCGTTCCCCGGAAAAAATAAGGCATGTTTTTTACTTTCAAGGTTTAGAAACTGTTGATGAATTAGAAACTGAACTACTAAAGATCATTAAACCTGATACTACCTATGGGGTATACTGTTCGGGAAAATAAATTGAAAGTGAAAAATACGATGATTTATTTAAAAAAATTAGTGGGTTAATAACAACACAATTTTTCATAAATCGTATCAAACGGTTCTATAGTAAGGTCTTGGACATTCAGGAAAAGAACAATCAAATTGAAATTATTTCTAATTATCACATTGGAAAAGCATACCACAGAGGCTTTGATGAAACATTTCACCTCATAAGGAAAAGGTATTACTGGCCTAACTTTAGCAAACACAGTCGTGATTGGATAAAAAAGTGTGACATATGCGCTCAAACAAAATATGACCGGCATCTATCAAGACCTAAATTTAAAATAACATCTACACTGGAAAGACCTTTCCAAGAAGTTATGATGGATACTCTACACCTCGGAAATAAATACATTTATCTAATAGCCGATACATTCTCAAAAC